CTTTTTGGTGAAAATGGGTGAAGTTGCCATGTTTGGGCTCTGTCTGGTGGCAGTGGTCCAGACAGGCTGCCCAGGCTAGGAGGTGTGCTGGGTGGCCTGGAGCCAAGCTCACCTGTCCACTATGGCCTCCACGCGGTTGATGCAGCGTTATCGGATTATACCTTTCAAAAATGACTGCTTCCTCAGGGATTTATTAGGGGCTGCTTCATATTTAATTTTCCTTGTAAAGCCATGCTAGCCAGGCCCCTTGTTGGGGATGCGCTTTTTACCAACAAAAAGATTAAGCCAAACTGAAGGTACTTTGAAGAGCCTTTTTGCCATTGTCAGTCGTTGGCAGCTGGTGGGGCTGCAAGAGCGATGGTGGCTGCCGAGGGCTTGTTTCACACAGCAAAGTCACAAAATGCCAGCTCTGCTCGTGCTGTGCTGCAAATTTTAGCACACCAGGGCCTGGTGGGGGTCACACCAGGCTAGTTGTGCTGCATTAATATAATTAATCGAAAATTGCATTTTTTTGTGAACTTAAATATATCAACAAGGTACTTGAAGTGTGCAGGTGGCATAAGTCGTTCAGCCAGGCTTGATATCTGGAGTGATATCGGCATTGCTCTGCACCCCCGCCCCCTCCTTTCCTTACCTGGCTCTTTTGTTTTCTTTCACTCCCACCTCTCCTCTTTTAAATCAAAAAGCCACTTGCACTAACAACTTCTCCCCTTTCCTCATATTGTTGCCTGACTTCCCCCCCCTCCTTTTTTGTTAAATCACCTGGAACACTCAAAGACTTTGCAGCCAAAAATTTCCACGTGGTCTTTTACTGAATGACCCTAATCCTCCTGTCTCTTTTTCTGCCTCCGCTATTTGTGATTTCAGTTGTGTTGTCTAATTTTAACTCCCAATCAATGTGACAGGAGTCATGGAAGCCACGGTTGTGGTCTAATGGATTTGCTCTACGCGAGTGGAGAAAATAACTTCAGGTTCTACAAACACCACTGTGAAGTTCCCATCACTAAGCGTGTGTGTGAGAGAGAAACAATATGGATAACTGTGCTTATGGACCAGATGTCTTGAGACTAATTTGCTTATGCTGTAGGGCAGAAATTCTACAGCACCATAAGATGATGTGTATGAAATAGTCTGTTCTGAAAGTGCAGAAAACAACTGCTCTGGTTTCTTCAAAGGTGCTACTTCTAAACCTGTGAAATCTGCATGAGAACTGAGATATTTTAATGTGTGCTTCGAGCTCTCGGCTCTACTGAAGAGTAACGTTTCCTTGTTTCTTTTTTCCTTGTAAAGCAGCCTCGATTTGTGGGGCTTGGTGTAGGGTAATGCTGTTTATAATCAAGTCAGAATTGGCTTTTAGAGCCTGATGAATGAAAGTCCACAGTATAAGACTGCAGCTTTTTGTGAGAGAGACATCTGTGCTATAACAAGAGCAGGAGACTCAGTTTAGACAACTGCTAGAAGGAGAGCTCAAGAAAAGGAAAGACTTTTTTTTCTAGCTTAGATTAAATATTTGTACAAATAAACTTTTCTTTTCAGCTGCTCATCAGAATTGCTGCTGCACCACCAACTTGGCTTTGAATTTTGTTCTGATTGCCCAACAAGGCTGTACACGAAGAGTGTTACGGAAGAGCAGCTTAAACAAAACATGTTTGTTTTGCAGCAGAACTGGAGGCTTTGGGCTAGAGAAAAAAAATTGGGGAGAGGGAAAAGACAGTGCGAAGAGAAACATGAAAAAATGAAGGATGTGAATAGAAACTGGCTGTTGCAGTAAATACATGTGAAGCAAGAAGCACATGCAGAAGTTGAGTTCTGTGTTTTGAAAGTGAGTTATGGTAGAGGATCTGGCTTTGAATACGGTCGCAATGACTTCTCCCAACTGGATCAGCTGGTTCAGTTAAGTGTTCTCACCCATGAAGCTTGCTCCTTACACACACATATACCCCAACCGCTGGTGAAACTTTTTTACTAGTGCATTTTAAATACAATCTGGTTAAAAGGCTACCCCTGTGCTGTTGATCACACTTAAAACCTTGCTGCATGAGACTGATGGTGATGAAAATACAAGCGTCTAGTGAGGACAGTGCTGCGGAGAGCAACTGTCTTTGACCCAAGAGGATTGTTTCTCATTTTGGTTAAAGAAAGCTCCGCTCCTTTGAGGAAACTTCTCATAAATCTGTTTGGTAAAGCAACTCTTAAGAACATGGGAACTCAAATCACTTGGATTAAAGCCCAGATAGACACTGTCTCTGACTGAGACGGCTCAGAAGAGGATTAAGGAGCAGCATGAGTGGTGAACTCCTGGTGAAGAGGAGTAGGATGCTGAATGCGCTGTCCTGGGCTATTCCTCAGCGTCCACAGTAAAGGAGCCTTTTGGTTCTTAGGTTTCTTGGAGCAGATGCAAGGCTAGTGTGTTGAGAGGTTTTTGACGGCTGATCAGAAACACGTTGGAAGTAGTTTTTAGAGAGAATGTAGTATCTTTAAGAAGTTGTATGGATTCAACTTTAAAGCATTCCTTTTCTTAGTGAAGCTGGTGACTTTAATACATGGGTCTTTATATAAAGGTATGCTTAGCCCAGAATATAAATTTAATATGGAAATAACTTACAAAATATTGATTAATTATCATCCAGCAAAGTCTTGCGGTACCTCTGGCATTCCAGCTTTGCTCTTTCCCTGTTTTTTTAAGGATGAAAATGAAATTCTGTGATTTTGAAGTGATGCAGCTTTGGGCCAGGGTGGGAATGAGCTGGTAGTCTGCACAGTTCAAATGTAATAAAATTTTGTCTTAACTAACTAAAGACATTAGCTCACATTGTAGTACGGTCCGCTGTGTAATGCGGTGCGGGTGTTGACATACTGTAGGAACAAAGAAATTGCTTTGTCAGACTAATGAACTCTTCGGTATCCTGTTTCGAGTAAACATCTCAAAATGGGACTCTGAGCCAGGGACTTGCTTTGCTTTTCTTGTTTTAAAACCCTGACCCCACCCGAGATTCTGTTCACTCAGAATCACTCACTGATTTCAGTGGAGGCACAATTACCATTGAAGCTGTCTATGGTAGAAGGCTTTCCTCGAATCGTGTGCAGTGACTTTCCTGGCTTGCGTGGAAGTATGGCTGCAGACCTGCAAGACCTTATGACTCTCCCACTCATCTGTGCCAACGTTTCAATTGTCTTAAAAGGATCTTCCACAGGCTTTTAATTTATTTTAATCCCCTGGAGTACCTCTGCTTCAGTAATATTTAGTGAATTTCAGAGTAAACTTTTCCTCAGTTTCAAATTGTCAGATCTGAGGAGTGGCAGAAAAATGTTGTTTTTAGGGGATTGAAAAGACAAACTCTCAGACTAGGCTAATCTCTGCTTGTAGGAGGAGAGGACAACTAACGACTTTTCTATGAAAACAAAACAGTTGCCAAGAAAACTTACTGGACCCTATGCAAGAAGGATGGGGAAATTCTGCAGTTAAAAGTAGCAATGCATTGCTCAAACTTGGCGAGCAGTGCATTGCCTTTTAAATACCTGGTTTGAAATATTACCTTTGAAATGTCTGCGTGCAATTTCAATTTTAATAGGTGGTAAAGATTGGAAATTATACTGATGTAAGTTGTCATTAAGTTTGGGCATATAAACTGCAATTTATCTTTAAAAATGTCTTTTATATTGTAGTGAAAGTATACGGTATGTTAAGAAATTATAATTTTGAATTCTTAATCTCATGAGGATGTAGACTCTGAATTTTTACACTTTTAGGGACAGGTTTTCTGCACACTCAGTTGCTGGTTATAAAGTGGAAGCGTACTGCAATGGGAAGCTGCGCAGATGCGTTTTTACGCCTACTACTTTCCTTCGGTCCTTGCTTCCTTGTTTCCTCCTCCTTGCTTTCCTTTCCCAAAAGGGTTTCCTCCCTTTCATTCTGACATTTTGCCTTAAGAGACTAACTGAAATGAAGAATGGCACTTCGGTCACAGAAGAGATTGCAAGTTTACTTTTTCACTTCTTGGTGTAAGTCGTGAACTTTTCCAGCATCGTTTTAATTCTTGAGACAAAACATTAGGATGCAACGAACCACAATGTGTTCTGTGCTGGTTACTGCTGCAGTCACTGTTTTCTGGAACATTATTTCTCACCAGGAAGAAAATAAAGTACATACCATGTGATTTTTTAGAAGCGATACAACTATGCGTATCTTTAAGGTTTTTACTGGAATATTCTGATGCCTTGATTTTCCTGAAAGGCTCACTGTTTCTTGCCCCTTCTTCATCCTCTATTTGACTAGAATAAAACAAATTATGCCAAATAAAACTATATTCGGATTTCTTTTGCCCCTTATCATAAGTTTTTACCTGTTCCTCCCTAGCTTTCTATCAAACGACAAATTAATTGTGACTTTCAAATAATCATGAAGATACCATTGCGAGTGGTTCCTCTGGAATGGGTCTTTGGGGAAAACTGTCAAAGTAATTGCGCGACAGCTCTTGATGTGCTGGTTATTCTGGTTAATGTCTCTAAGTAGACAAGCCCCCACTAAGTAAGAGAATAACGTTTTTATGTATGACCTAAGTGTATGGGGAGGAAAAAAAAAACCAACCCCAAAGAGTGGCAAAGTTACATACATGTGCTTGGGATACATGGAAAGATTTTATTCCAGATTTGCTCTTCTCTAATTCTTCCTGCCTCTGCTTTAGCCCACTCTGAGAACAGGTGACCTGGAGGTTTATTTTCATAGTTTGGCACTTACAGGGCAGTGTGACTTCTTGGAGTTATGTTCTGTATCTTCACATTCATGAGGTTTTAAACACAGATTTTCTGATGTGAGAAAGAAAACAAGCAATGTGTGCTTATTCTTCCCAAAAATAGTTAACATCTCTTCCTTATTGGAGTGGATGTCTTGAATGCTGTATGTTCTGATAAAATTATTACAAATTTTAGTGTTTTTACAGACTTTCTTTTGTTAATCTGTTTTGAAATTGAAATCTGTCGTTTCTTTTACCTCTTGATAGGTGCTGGATAGTTTGTTAGCTCAGTATGGAACAGTGGAGAACTGTGAGCAAGGTAAGGCTCTACTCTCAAATTGCTTTTAAATTTGTAGTGGGAAGGGCGTGGACACTGAATTTAACCTCTTTCCATTGTGTTTTCCTCTCTAGTGAACACTGACACAGAGACTGCAGTTGTAAATGTAACATATGGCAATAAGGACCAGGCTAGACAGTAAGTATTTTTCTTACTTGTTGCTATCGTCTAACTTGTGTTTTCGAATTCATGTTGTTGCGATTTTATATGCAACCTCACTTCTGATTTATTGATCAAAATGATCACGTAAGCATTAACTTTAAAGAAAGTTGCTTGGTCTTTCCCTCGCCAAGTCTTGTGTGCTTTACCTTAATTTGCTATTTTTTGTCATCAACTTTTCCTGCACTTTGATTAAAAATAAATTAATAATTTTGAAAATTGAACATTTGGATAAAATTATTTGACTGGGGAGGGCAGAAAGTTAGTGATTTGCCAATGACAGAGAACAGGAGTTATTGCTTAATTTTAACATTTTTAGCCATGTTTTTAAAAAAGCTTTGTGATGCCCTTTTCAAGTGTTGGTTGTTCTGTGTCTTCTGGTTAGCAGCTGCATTCTTCTTCTATTTGTTTCTGTTGTTTTGCTATAATTTTCCCTTAAGAAATGATTTTTTTTAATTAGAAAAATTAATGCTGTTTCCAAACACACAAAAAGTTGTAATCCGAATACCTAAAATAATTTATTTGGGCTTTTTGAACTTTAAGCCACATATTTTATGCTTGCTTGTATGTTCTGTAATTGATAACTTTTAATCTCAATATTAAAATTTAAAAATATAACACTTTACTTTCCTAATCAATGGTTGTATTTTCCTTTAAATGTTTTCCTTTAAACATCCATATTATGCTATTGGTTTAAATTTGCTTTTCCATCACAGGTAGAAAAAGGACCTATGTGTTCCTTAATTTTTAATCTGGTGACATAAACATATTTTTCCCCTCTTTCTAGCTGTAGCAGGTTAAACAAAAGGAAACCTATGGAATAGCCTACAATGATCTTTTTATTTTAACTTTGAAATTTCTGCCACCTTGTGGCTAACTAAAATTAGCAGTTAAGATGCAGAGTATGTTTATGGTATGCATTAATTCAAAATTACAAATGAAATAATATTTGTACATATAATTAAGTAATTATGACTTCTGTGTAACTTGAATGCAACACATGTATTTAATCTTTCAAAGTGTTAGGTTACTTGTTAGTGTATTCTAAACAAATGTGATGGGAAACTTGTGTCAGTGGTGTCTCCTTTGTACGCTGGAGCTGAAGGAAACAATGTTTTTCTTTAGTTCACTATTTAACTTTTCTCAAAACCTGAATCATTCAGTAAGTTCTTCAGGTTCTTCTGTTTTTAATTCTGTTGCACAGTAATTAAGAAAAATGTTGAATTTCTAGTTCTGAAGAAACTGATGGTGCAATGTTAAAAATTAACGCTACATGTGCCAGTTCCTTCTTTGAAAAATGTAGGAAGGAAGTACCTAAAATATCATGGAAAGAAGCATGATGCATATTTTTGAGCTGTCTGTCATCTGTGATGTGGGTTCCTGGACTTGTGCACTCCCTTCCTGTCCTGGTTTCAGCTGGGATAGAGTTAATTTTCTTCCTAGTAGCTGGTATAGTGCTGTGTTTTGGATTTAGCATGAAATGAAAACAACAACATACGGTTTCTCCCCCCTCAAACTGTACTTGTTAAATTTTAAGGTCAATCCTGAGGAAATGCTGGGATAAGCCAAGACTGAGAAGAAGCGTCCGAGGAAAAAATATTGTTTTGCATGAGAAATTGCATGAGAATAACTGAAAACATCTTGAGTGTGAAGCAGGTGAATTAGCGTCCAGCATGAATGTTGGGGGAGGAACTGAAGCGATACAGGTTGAATGATGACATAGAGTTTGGTTGCCTTGAACAGGTAGAGCAAGTGGAGAAGCCTTGATTTGCTTTTGCGAATGGTTTGATACAGACACAGGGTTTTCTAAGGGGATGAGTCCATTTTCTGTATGGAAAACGTTAGCTCAGATTGGCTGGGTTCAGGATGCAACCATTTAGAAACCCCTAAGAGAAGAAGTGGCTGGATAGAGTTTGTCTAGGAAAAAACTGTGAGGAATTGCAGTGAAGAATCACTACAGGACCTGTGCGTGTGTGGCTTTTCTGTAGTGACTGTGGTGGCGTTTCATTTGAATGGTTTTCCCAGGCATAACCTAGCTTTGCTTCTTGGAACTGGCTGTGGTGGGCAGCAATGGCTGTGCAGGGGGGAGTGGTATATGAGTGCTGATAAAAGGCAGTGTTGGTCAACCTACGCAGTACAAGGAGTAACAAGACCTGACTTTATCGAAAGCTGTTTAGGGTCGTTGAGAATCAGCAGCTGATAACAAGCTTTGTATTTTGAAATTTAGCTGTTTAGGGTTAATGATGCTCTTAGCCACGGCTTTTGGAGCAAACACTGTGACATGAAGTTTTCTATGCCGCCACATACAGTGGGTCCCTAGTTCTAATTACGTCTTTTCTGCACTTTTTGCAACACACATACTAACCTCACAGTTAGTAATGCTGGCTGACAAAACATGCAAAGTTGGCTACTTCCCCGCTGGATAGACTGTATGGCATTGCTGTGCCTGTTGGAGTGTGTACCGGCAATGCTGTGCGGTGAAGGTGCTGTAACACAATCTGGAGATACTTTTGATAAGCAGTTCTAAACAAGTGTGGTATGCATTGCTTGGAGGATGTTACTTTTTGAACAAAACTTTTGGTTCCATCCAGCTGGGAAACTGAGCCTTCTTCTGTCTTGCAAGTCTAATTGTTGTGGCAGAGGTTTTTTTGTTTGTGTTTTTTTTTTTTCTCTCTAGGCTGGTACTGCAGTTGCAGCATATTCAATACAGAGCTGCATCCAAAATTAACTTGGAAACTGAAATAGGTGAAGAATGCTGCAGTTCTTTTGAGAAACAAGTCTTGGACAGAGAACACAGCACCCAAAATCTGAGACGTGCACAGTTACTGGCTTCTAATTGGAATGGAGGTCTGTGGCTTTGACCTGTCATAGTGATGCCTCTCTTTCCTAACTGGACAGGCATGAGGCTGTCTTGGCAGAAAAAGCAGGATGCTGCTCCTCATCTCTATGTGGCCAGAGCAGGGGAGTCAGCGTAGCAGATTAGGTACTTATAGGAAGCCCAGTAGGTTTGTGGAGAGGTGTACAGCAAGTACATGGCTCTGTGCTTACGCACCTCCCCATAAACCTACACAGAGCCATGCGTGGGCCTGGGAAAACCACCCTTTGCTCTCCAGGACTGCGGGTAACAAGAAGGCTGGGGACTGCCAGGGCATCTCTGTGACCCCATCCCTCCCTTCCTTTCCTGCAAGCGCTTGGGAGGAGGAGGGAGTTGTTCCAACTCGGAAACTGCCCCTGCCACCATCCTTCCCAGAAACTGGGAGGGCCTTACAAAGCATGTGCACGCTGCTGTGGCACACGCAATTACTGAATTACTGAACTTCGTGGTGAGTTATGGAATATTTGGAAGAGAGGAGTTCAGGGCGAGTGGCAGAGCCTGGAGCCAGTGGATCAGTTTAAACAACCCAACCAGATGCACGTAGGTACCGAGGCAGCTTGGGACCTGCTTGCTGAAGGGCACCCCCTCTTCTCCCAGTATTGATCCCTGACTGCAGCCAGCAGGATGTGCTGACCGTGTCCTTGTGCTGCCACCTAAATAATGGCTGTTATCTTCAAAAGTTACACCACCTCCTCTTTCCCTCCCCAAAATGTTCCAGTGTGTAGGAGTCTAGTGCATGCTACAGTATTTAGCTCTACCCAGGATTTTGGAAGGGAAACTTTGTGCAGAGTTGGCCTCACATATATGGAGTGGGTGTATATTGTTTTAGTATGGGGCTAGGCATTTATTTTTTATCTTATTTTTTAGCTCAGGAATGAGGTATGTGTCTTGGTTGTGTCTCGTAACTGATGGTGTATTTTAAATGCGGGCTGCAGTGTGAGGAGCTCAGGATCCGCGTCTTTGCAGATATAAGTAGATATATTACTTTGAGTGTTAAGACACTAGTGGTCACTTTTTAATTAGAATACTTGCAAAAAGAAACAATTTTTTTACCCTTTCAATGAAGCACAAAGATCTGTGTGCACACACAACCATGTATCCTTGATGAATGAATAAGAGTTCACATAACTAATACTTTCCCATGCCATCATGGGTCAGGGCTAATGTTGCCATAGGAACGATAACACTGAAAATTCAGTGGTGTATGATTATAAGCTTAGATTTATTTTTTTTTGCTTTGTTTTTATTTTCAGAAATACTAATGAAAACTATATTTTTATTTAATGCAAAAAAAAATCATTATGCCAAAGAAAAATTGCCATGTATATCTGTCTTCTCAGTATGCAAATGTATCTGTTCAGGGAGGAAAAAAGAAAGGTGGTGTACGTACAAGCTGCACGTGGGAGTGAAATATGTTCTCCATCTAGTGCTTAGTGTCATTGCGCTATCAATGGATGAATGATTTCCAGCATAAGACTCGGTGCTTTTACTGTATTCATTTATCTAGGATGTTTAACCTCCACTAGCATCAGAAGGGAGAAGGCTGGGCGAACATCCTTTCCTAGGGAGCTCACGAGAGGACAGTGGTGAGATGTCATTTTGATGGGACAAACTCAGGTGACTTAATACAAAATATTTGTTTAAAGGTTTCATTTTTATGTAGGGATCCTCTTACTTCTGAGCAGGTGTCACGTGAACATAAGCCAGGCTGTTCTACATCTTAGCAGAGCATAGGCAGTAGTTGCTGCAGTCTCTTAATGAATTTGTTTCATAAAAAAAATTCTGAACTACACTATGAGATTCCTGTGTACCAGCTCTTGCTGGTATATGAAACGGAAACATTTTCCATTTCCACTAAATATTAATTTTTAAAGAAGTTTTGGGGGAGGAGAGCACATCTTAATGAGGAATTTTACTGAATTTTTCTCCCTCTTTGTCCTCATTAAGTGACTCTAAGGCTTTTAGCCCTTGTGTAAAAGACAGTTTGTGGGTTGTTTCAGTAGGTACCAGTAATGCCCTCTGACAGAGGTAACCTGCATGGCCTTTATTAACTTGTGGTCATGGAAGGAGACCCCCCAGCCCCATTTGGGAAGGCAGAGGTCTTTGTGGAAAGGCAGAGGGTGGTGTTGCTGTGGTTTGGACTTGAGTTTCTGAGGTGGTCAGTCAATGTGAGTATGTGCTTTACAAAAGGAGCTAGATTTAATGTGTATTTGGTGGACTGCAACAACAATGATAGCCTTGACTGAAACAGGTGCCACTAGTGCTGTGAAGAACCAGTCACTTGCTTTCCTCTGAGGCTCAGGCTTTCCCAGGGAGCGAGGATGGCTCTCCTGATAGCAAGTGCTGTCCTAGATGCTGTTTTACAGGAATTTTGCATCTATCTAGAAGACAGTTCTTAATCACTCATCTCTATTCTTGGTTTCTTTTTCCTTCCTCCTTTCTCCTGAAATGGTGCCTAGATGCCTCTAAAATTTTGGGCTTGTTATGGTGCTGAAGGACTTCTGAGCCATCATTTTGCCTGATTCCAGCCCTATGTTTTGTGCCACAAAATTGATTAAAACGAGTTCAGAACAGTTAAAGAAAAGGTGTATGACAATACTCTAAAAACCTAGTGAAAACTGTCAAATGTTGGAATGTGAAGGCCAGACTCAACAGCGAAAGTGACTTTTCAAAAGCTGTGGGCTTGTGTCTTCTATAAGAAATGCACCAGAACTGTGTATTTGCTGCATCACTGAAAACTAGTTATCTTGGCGTTGCCCTGTGTGTGCCCAAATCAGTGCAGAGTGTGGGACCACCTACCCAGGAAACATCAGTTCCACAAAAGGCTTGGGAAAGCAGTGTTTAATTACCAACTCTTCTTCTGACTTCTTGTCACTTGAACAAGTCAAATTATAAAACAAGTCAGCCTATAAAATATGGAGAACTCTCTGACTCAGAAGGTGAATTAGTTATTTTAAAGTTTTCTCTGTAAATATCTAGACTAATTTAAACAAGTGATACTACTGTAGTATCTCTAGTATACTAGATTCTCTAGTATACAGTACTACAGATACAGTAGTATCTCTAGTATCTAACTAGAGAAGTGAACTTTAAAGCAGGTTTGCCTTCAAATACTTGCTCAAAAACAACCCATCCAATATCTTTTATTGTGTTGTTTTTCCATGTCATCATATGGCTTTGGTGGCCAGGGATGGTTCACTGCTGACATAATTGATTTTCCATAATGGCAAATGAACTTTTCTCAGTTTGCTTTGAATTTAGGGTACTTATAGTCATATAGAACCATTTAGCAATTTATAAATTGTTCTTAAGTAGAAAAATTCCAACCTTCTTTCCAGGAAAAGTATGGTGTGCACACACACACATATATATACATATATATATATGCGCCAGTTGTTGCTGTATAGTGTTTGTTGTGAAAACGTGATAGGTATGTAACTTGGTTGCAAACAAAAAGCCTGGTCTTCTCCTCTCCTACCACTTTTAAGGAAGAGTGAGAAGTCTCATGCACTGATTTAATGTAAGGTTTTGTATTAGTGCTGGGATTCTGGTCTAAGATGTTTTAAAGCCAGAGGAGATTGTTTCTTTCCCAAAATGCTTCAATGTCTGAACTTGTCAAATAAATGCGTGGAAGGGAATGAGTTGGGATAGATGTCAATCCGGAGCCTACCAGCATGTTCGAAATCGTTGGTGCTCATCTCTCCATCTTGAGGTTTGATTCCAAAAGAAACGGCTTGTGCAACTGCACTCTCTGGTGGTGCATTTCCCTCCCTAGTAGCAATTCATTATTTTGGCTGATTTCAGTAAAACTCAACCAAGAAATAGAGGTCTTAGATATTTGCAACCAACAAGAACTTAGTATGTTCAGGTTGCATAAAAAGGAAAGGCTCCAGACCCTTTTCCCAGATAGGATCTCTATGGAGAGAGGCTTCAGCTAAATGCCTTTTGGACATTGGAAATCTATGCAGAAACTAAAACTTGAGACACAAATCCATAGGAACACAAGTTTCACTAGTCCGGCTGCTCACTGCCCTTACTGTTTCGTAAACATGGCTTTCTGTGCAATAAAATGCTCTTCAAAGTCCATGGAGTAAAAGTTAAGAAATGTCAGCTTTGAAATAGCCTCAGCAAATTTTAATGCAGATCTCTTTTGCCATACACTGTAAGATTCTTCTGTTATGGGAGCAATTACACTCCCGCCTTGTTCCCAAAGGACCTGTGTCTCATTTGGAGAACAGAAGTATTTAATGAGCAGTGATCAGTTATTCAATATTTTGCTTTCCTTGTTGTTCATTGGCATTGCCTTGGGCCTTATTTATTACCAGCCCTTATTAAACACTGCTCCAAAGACACAAATTACTTGTTTTCTCATAAGCTCTTTACTGTCCGACTGGAGTATTTTGAGGATGCTGGATCAACCCCTGGGAGATGGAGGGCTGTGTGTTATCCTCAGTACCCTTATACCACTTATCTGCAAAGCTGCTGCTTGGCTTCAACAGCTGCTTGAGACCCAGACTGTCAAGTGGGACACCTGGGAGATGAGCAGTACTTTTCACTGGCTACCCTCGAAAATTTAGGCGATTGGCTAGTGTTGTCCTTTATCTCTGCAGTAGAGGCAGGAGTAAAAGTGTTGCTGAGGGTAGCATTTGGTAAACCAGAAGCAACCACCTGCAAATGTGCGTGAACGGAGGGACTGGATTAAGCTTCTGAATTTCAGAGGCCTTGCTCCAGAACATATGGTTATTGGAGCTTTTTAACAAAAATGTTGGTGGGTTCTTTAATGAGATGGAAACCTCTTCCCTCCCACTACTGTTTTTAATTTAAATTTTGACTTTAAACAAAATCTATCAGTAGTCTTTGGTCCAAGATTAAGCCTGGCATTTATAAACTACCCCAAATCAATGCATGTTTCAGTGCTATCAATGTATCATATTGCTGATAATCTGAATAATATGCCTTCTGTAGTGAAACTTGAAATGTTATTCTTGGGCAAACATGTTAATTTTATACCACTAGCTTACCAGTGTGTTGCGTGTAGCTTAGTTATTCCTACTGTTTCCTGGATCTTTAATTGTATGGACTCTGTTCTGTTTGTGAGTGGAAGATCATCTACCCTCCAGAAACCTGTCATTTTTAAGTTTAGAGTTGTGCTCCCTCTGCAAAGAGGAGTAGTCCAGTAGGTCAGGTTGACTTGCAAACTTGGCCCCACCTTGGTTAGAAAGAGGGGCTGGGCAGGGGGAGAGCTGAGCAACCGGGTGGTTATTCGGTGTGACTGACCACGGTGCAAGTGCGTTGTGTGCATTTGGGCAATATCCCTCTATGATATTTAACAGAGGGCTCTGCTTCGCCTAAAAGCACAAGAGAACTTGAAACACCATTTAAATGCCTTCTAACACCTTTGCATCTATGGAGAGTTTAACAGATGTGTTGGCTTTAATTTCCTTGTTAACTTTTAAACCTGCTTACAACATGGCTGGTTGGTAAGTTGCAGGTGCTGTTGTGGTCTAAGTGGTGTTACAAATGCCGTTGACTGGCTTTGAACACTTTCTTTCCTGCTGAGAATGAACCAGGAGCTGTCTTTCATATCTCTCTTTTTTTTTTTTCTTCTTTTTTCTGTCATAGCTATGTCAGTTATTGCAAAAACTCCAGCCAAATAGCTTTGCTGGCAAAAACCCTAATGAAGGTGCTGTGATAGCAGCTAAAAAGTTTTCCCTCTGGTGCAGCTTTAATTCTATTTGGGAAACTGATTTAAATTAAATCAGGCAAAAGAATGCTTTTGAGTGTATAAGCTCTGTCTCCTGTGAGGTTTTGCTGATAGGGTTGCACCAGCAAAACCTTTAAAGTGCACAGAAGCCCAGAGCAAGCAAGAACTAACTTGTAGTCCTTAATATGGTGACTTAAAAAAAAAAAAGTTGTGTAATCAAAATCTTGACTGGAGAATTTTGAATGTAGCTTTTCATCTTGGAACCAGTTTTTAGCTTTGTCATGCGATTTAGAAAGAGCAGAAGTCTATATCTGAATGACTTGTCATTTCATAAGGCCCTGCATGTGATTTTGGTTTTTTTTCTCCTCTCTCCACCCCTTTGCAAATAAACAGAGCAATAGAAAAACTGAATGGGTTTCAGCTTGAAAACTATTCCTTGAAAGTTGCATACATCCCTGATGAAATGGCAGCCCAGCAACCTCCACAACAACATCCCCAGGGGAGGCGTGGATTTGGGCAGAGGGGTCCTCCAAGGCAAGGGTCACCCAGCGCAACCACAAGGCAGAAACCACAGTCGGACGTTCCTCTACGGATGCTGGTTCCCACGCAGTTCGTAGGAGCCATTATTGGGAAAGAAGGAGCGACAATCAGAAACATTACAAAGCAGACACAGTCCAAGTAAGTTATTTTACAGAACTGTAATTGTAAGCTTTAATATTGTGTCCTCATCTCCCATGTAAAGTGAAACTTGTAAAACTTCACAACTAACTTGTGTGGTCAGAGAGCAAATGAAGATAAGTGAACAGGAAATCTTTTGCAAGATTTATTTAAGGACTGGATTCTGTCCTCAACACATGTTCAAATACTAGCTGACTTGTTTCTCTCTTTTTAAAAAAATGAAATTATGCAGTGCTAGTAGGATGGTACTTGATGCCGGAGAGTTTGCTTAAAGGTGTACTAATAAGGTTCTGGCACAAAAAGTGAAACTGAAAGAGCTGTAATATGTTGGTCTGTGGGACGTACAATCAGTGTGGTGACATATCCAAGTTTTTAAGCGTTTACCCTACCTTTAGTTTAATTTAGGGCATTCTTAGGATTTATAAATCTGTTCAATTCAAGGGGGGTGGGGCAAGAAGAAAAAATAACCTTCCTATCTCCCCTCACTACTTCTTGCACCTCACCCCCATGTATTTCTGGTGAATACATTTGTTGCTATCAACTTGCAGACCACTCCAAAACACAGATTAAAGAAATGCATGGGAGGCAAAAAGCAAGCTGCTGAGTGACCTAAGAAGCTTAGAGCGCTAGGTTCTAGAGACACTGGAGGAGATTGTTTTCAGTGCCTGTTAGATCCCTACCCACAAGGAAGAGCTCAGCACCGATGCAGAGAGAGGCGGGGATCGTATTCAAAGTATTCTTCCAGGGTAACCCTAAGAGTGGAGAGTGAAAGATGCTGTCTTCAGCAGTACACTGGTACGAGTCCCCAGCTCTGTAGTTGCAGCAGGCAGGACGCGTAAATGAGCTGTGTGTGAGGGTGGGTGGCTTCAGTTTTGAGAGTAGTTAATGAGGATAAGGGAGTCCTCTCTAATTACACCCCCCACAAACACCCAGGCTCCCCCTCCCCCCTCAAACCCAGGATTATCATGATGCTCCTTTCGACCTCTCATTAGCATGTTGTAACCCAGGAGACTATTTGCTGTGTTTAACAACACAGATTTAAGAGATTTGTGGTGTCCTGACAAGACTTGGTTGTAGTTTGCCTACGGGCAACCAATTTTTCAAGTGATATCTGAAACATTTAATTCTCGGACTATAAAAATCCTCAAAGATTGGCATAAGGAAAGCTTTTATCTCTTAAAAGAAGGCTGGATAGAGCAGAAATAATCACAAGTTGCTAACTTTACAGATACATGGCTTCAAGAATGATATTTTCATTGTTTTGGGGATAAAAAAAGAAATGTCGTCTACTTCCAGTTGCACTGAGGATTGCCATGGGCTTCTTAGAAAATGTTGCACCATGAAACAAAATGAGTTTTCAATATCAGAAAGAACAGGAAAAATGAAGTGGTTTATTGAAAAGCAACATGGTTGGTTGTTAAGTTTGGAAACAAGTATGATTTGGAGGGGAGGAAACAAAAAGCAGAGGTGGAAAGAGTATGTGACCTGCAGTTATTGGCAGACGACAAATAATATCCAAGGCATTGTCTTGATGTAGGTCATAATTAGTTTTTGTTAAATTCCTAGAGCTACACAAACCATGATGCAGACTAAGGCTAGTAGTTTTAGGGTGATAGAGTGTGGAGCTAGAGGAAAGGTAATGTCAGGATTAAAAAGCATAGCAAAGTAATCTTGAGGATGAATGCAAGTACTATGATGCTACTTGCTAGCAGAGACGTGCTAGGGAACTGCTGCTGAGGTCCTTAAAAAAGACAAGGTGGGACAAAGCCTGACTCTACTGTACCTGCACAGTCGTCATTAGTGGAGCAACTGGGCTGGTGATAGAGTATTGGAAGTGCTTGATGAAACGTTGTTTTCAGTGGTTTACCACAGATTGTCTATCTAACAACTCCCCTGAATATCTTGATGGGAGTTTAATGAGGAAAGGAGATCCCAGTGCCTACAAAGATGGGGTTTAGCTGGTAAAATCAGGATAGGAGAGGCCCTTTGTAACACACAAAAAAAATAGTATTTAGGAGATGTTTTAAGTAGTTGTTTAATTTTGCAAAGCATACCACTTAAATGTAGTCAGTGTTACCTCAAAATAAATTAGTTTTATGAGAGTTGGAAATATTCAAGGCTTACCATAGAGTACATGGTTACAGTTAGTGTTTTTCTTTCTTTCAAGAATTGATATTCATCGTAAAGAGAATGCAGGTGCTGCTGAGAAACCAATTACCATCCATTCAACTCCTGAAGGCTGCTCAACGGCTTGTAAAATTATTATGGAGATAATGCAAAAGGAAGCTCAAGATACTAAATTGTGAGTAAAAGGCATTTCATTGTGGAGGCATAAAAAATTCTGGATTCTTGTTGACTCCATTTAAAGATGTAGTCTTTAAAAACTGTTAACAAGTGAATCTTTGTTGCCGTTATCCATATTTAAGTAGGTGAAGGAACTAGGACTTTTTTCCTTTCAGGACAGTCTACTTGCTTAATTAGCCCCAGCACACATCTATGTTTTCAGCCATTGTCTGGCTGTGATTTTGTGGTGAACTGGAGCAAATACTGAAGTTTCTTGAGCAACTGATAGCTTTTTATCAGAGTGAGCATAACAAGTTTTGAGCTCTCACTAAAAGCTTTAAGGTGTATTCCTTCCCAACAGCTCTTGGTACTTCAGTCTGACTTTTATTTAGCAGGTATGTTACAATGAAGCTATAGATGATAGTACTGAAATGTGCTTTGCATTTGGACTCGTTCTGCGTCTAGTATAAACATGTATAAGCAAATGGGAGTTGTAGACATTTCTATGAAAATAAAATTTATCCATAACATGCATAAAAACTTGCACTCTGGTCTCAAAGTCTCACTGGGTGTAACCTCCATTACAGTACAGAAGAAATTCCCTTGAAGATATTGGCACATAACAACTTTGTTGGCAGACTTATTGGCAAAGAAGGAAGAAACCTGAAGAAAATTGAACAGGACACAGATACTAAAATCACGATATCTCCGTAAGTTTTTGGTGGCCTAATCTTTTGTCAAGATGTCTCAAATAGCAGCAATGTCGCTGAGGTACATTCAGGTACAGAGTTCTTACAAAAATATTATGTGTGTTTTGAAGGCTGAGATAACAGCCTTTCGGAGGGCTTTCCATAACGTGGATTAAACTGTTACTTAAGCTCAGCTAAATTTAATGCAAACAGTGAGTCTTCGTTGTAAACTCAGTCAAGAGCAATGTTAAAAATAACATAGCCTATGTGGAGCCTGTGTTAGACTATATTTTTAAGTGTCGGTTGTTTTTAACATGTTATACCATATGTAATGACGAGTGTTTTAAACTATAAGCCTGGATCAGTTCTGAGCTGTGTGTGAAAATGAGTAAAACTAGAGATGCTTTAGTTTCTGGTATAAATTAGATTTTTGGACAAAAGGGAAGGAAATAAAGCAAATGAATACTGAAAAGAGTATCTTTAGAAGTTCCGTCCCTCTTGGCCACTAGCAGCCAAACTGGGATACATTGATCAGTCTGCTTCAAAGTAATAGCTTTTGGTCTGTGAGTTTGTGAAGGTAACTGAGACCTGTTCAAATTTAGCTGAGATTAAACAGGAGCTTTTACCTTTACTGGAAATCTGCAAATCACTGATTAGATCAACATCTCTGTAGAAGCTTGGCTGTTAATAGTAGTTTTACCCTGGAGCAATATCTTCAGAGAACCTCCTGTTCTGAATAACGAATACTCTGGCGTGAACTTCCATGCATTTGAGGGCGTCTTGGACTTAGGCTTTAGCCAGAAAGGGTGAGATTAAGTCTTATAGGCTGTAGGAAAGGGAGGAAGTTTGAAAGACACATGAAGATGTATGAAGAGGTGTGAATACATGCAGGAGAGAAGAAAAAAAAAAAGTGTACTGCAGAAAATAGGCAAGGAAGCTAAGAGTGAATGAGGTTCCTCAAAAAGAGGAAATTCAAAATTGGGTGAGAGAACCTGAGACCTTCCTGAAGGTATGTAAACGTTTATGGAATTAGTCTGAGGAAGAGAAGCGAATCAATTGGAGAAAAAGCACCCAAATAAGTGTGTTTCAAGAATAGGTTCTGTAAGGCCAACATGCTCTCTTAAATGTGTTGGCATAAACATTTTGTTTGCAAACAGTACGCAGACTGTTAATGCTATTTCTTAAAGGAAAAAAAAAGATGTGCACAGGGTAAATGGGATAATGGTCTTCGTTCTATGAAACCAACTTGTCTTTATTGATGATGACACAGATAACACATTGTCTGTAAACACTCGCGGAGTATTTCTTAATTTAGCAAGTTAATGGTTTATTTGCATTAAAATCTTGGCCTCAAGATTATACTTGTCATGCTATGCCTGAAATAGCCCCATGAAGTTGCCTGGTTTAATTGGTACATAAAAGAGAGCATATATGCCCATTGATTCTGCTTTGTCTAATTAGTCTTTCTCCTGATCTCTTCATTTAGGCTTTTTGGTAAGCTTGTCCATAAAGTTGAAGTAAGGCAGTTGGTTTGGGAAAGTGTTTCCTCTCTTCTTTGGGGTGTTTTCCGCCACTTTCCTTCCTGAGGCAGTAACTCAGTGCTCGCACACTGGAAACTTAGATTGCTTTGTGGATGCATTTTGTGCTTGCTGCTGCTTAACTGAGATGCGCAGTTGCCACGCTGCCTGCTGTGCAAGAAAGCAGGCCTTGCATGCTTCTTCCTCTCTCCTTCCTGCCATGGGCTTCCTCACCCCTCCTGCACCCTGCTCTGACTTTTTTTTTTTTTGTCTTCACCCCTTCAGCTTACCTTTTCTCAGTACATGGATATGCCATAGCTTCCCAGTCGGTTTCTTCCATTTTACCATAGTAGGTCAGCATTTGTTACCTAACAAAGAACTAGTTTAATGCTGTAACCCTTTCATTTTCCCTGAGGAGTTACTAGTGTTTTGCAGCAAATGTTGACTTGCACACAGCTTTTGGTTTTCCCATTATGAGGATTTGGAGGCTCTCCTGCAGTTTCACTGAGAGTTGGGCTTTTTTCCCCTCCTTCCTTAAGGAATCCGCTATTGTTCTCAAGGAGAGAAAGTTTCGTATGGTCTGTGTTTCTGGAATGTCTAAAATGTCTGAAGCCCTCTCTCTGTTGGTAGGGCTGGTGTGCAGTGCGAAGCTGAATGGTGCTGCACTGCTCTGCAGCTCATGTTCCTACAGAGCGGGATGGTTTACATCTTGCATTGCACCTAAGAACATCTCAACCATCTGATGCCAAACCTCACTGCGGTGGCTTTTGTTGCACTTGCTGTGAGGACAGAGTTTCTCCAGATTCTCCGAGAACTGTGTTTGAGCCCCATTATGAATTGATACTACTCTCTTTGGAGGGCAAACTCGACACACTCGGATGTCATCGCACTCGAATGATAAATCTGGGTTACCCTCCACTGTTTGCTAATTAACTGTGCTTCCGTTTCATTTGCAGATTGCAGGACTTGACACTCTATAATCCGGAAAGGACCATTACAGTTAAAGGCAGTATTGAAACTTGTGCCAAGGCTGAGGAAGAAATTATGAAGAAAATCAGGGAGTCCTATGAAAATGATATTGCTGCTATGAATGTGAGTTGTCTTGTGGAATGGGCCCTTTCTGGAACTAGAACCATGGAAAGACTTAGGTGTGAGGGACCTCTGGAGGTCACCTGGCCCAGCAGGGTGTTTGCTCAATATAGGGCCCGCTTCAAAGTTAAATGAGGTTGTGTAGGGGCTTGTCCCCTCTTTGAACATCTCCATGGGTAGAAAGTCCCCGGTCTCTCTGGGCAGCCTGTGCCCTGTCTCACTGCTCTCATGGTGAAAATTTCTTTCCTAATATCACATCAGAATTTCCCTGTTGCAACCTCTCTCTCTTGCCTCTTGTATTAATTCATGGGGCTTGGGTGAGGTTTTTTGTTGTTTATTGATGTACGTATGCTATTTTAGTGAAGGCTTTTTCTGGTTTGTTTTGAGTAGGGGAACTGAGAAATTGATTTAGATTGAGGAAATGAATGAGCATTTCACTTTTTTCTTGTTGCAAAAACCTAAAGGAATTTGTGTTTATGTACTTTGGTGGTTTATGTGCTCTAGTTTGTATATGTTTGTTAAAGTAGTGATTAACAGTCTCTTCATGTTAAGAGCATAACAACATATGGAAGAAGGATCTCTCCTGCTTTCAATTATTTAATTTAAGAAGGCTTTATTAAGGTTTTTCTTGATATAGATGATAAAGACATTTAGTTATTCAACTGGTGATTATGTAATAAAAACAACACACCTCATTAGTTTGCCAAAGTATTACTAATGCATATTGAGAAATGGTTGAGATTTTTGATAAGCTATGAAGAGCTTTTTGTGTGTGTATCCAAATCTTATGGTCTAGAATCAGGCTGGAAATATTTTTTCAGCTTACAGTAGTCTCTGATTTTCTAGAAATGGCTGTTCTTCATGGTTTTCCTACTGTTTGGAGAGAATAGTCTCCCCGCTTTCCCCCTCCCTCCCATACTATAAGCAAATTGCAGGACACAAGCTACACATGAGGACACAATAAAATATTTTATAGTGGTACATTTTTGCTTCATATAGCAAGCAGGAACATGGGGCGAGCTTGAAGCTGCTCTGCTGTTTGGCAAAGGTGTGGTAAGCAGAAAACTACCTCTGTTACTGGATAGATTTCAAGTTTAGTTTGTAGTGATTATTAGGGTAGGTTTTTTTAGTTGGTGAAGTTTTTGGGGTTTTTTTGGTGTCTCATGATTGGCTTATCTTGACGGCCTGAGATGGTGTCTGTCTCTAGCTGAGATATTCCTAAAGCATAGTCATATTACTGGGCAATAATCTGGAAAAGTGAAAAAGGGTACTGACAAGTTTTGTATCACGGACAAATGCTTCCTACCACATGATGCTGTTTATTTTCTCAGGTGTGGTCAAGTAAGGGACATGCAACTTATAGTTGATGCTTTCCCAGCAAATGCTGGGGGTATCTTACTTCATCTTTTGCAAGGCATGGGAGGGAAAGGATATGAGAGGGAGGATGGGGTTATAGTGCGGCGTATTCCCCAGTGTACAAAAAGTCAGGGCTTGTGCACGGGCTTTCTCTATTTCTACAGGGCTGTCTTTTTAGTATAAAGCCAAAATTATTGTATTCTTTCTCTGATAATTTTGTTCAATCTGAAAGTAAATCGTACTATTGCCTGAATTCCTTGCTATAAAGTCTGTCATATGTTTCACTGATTAAGTTGTAGCAAGTGATTCCCAGCTGCCTTTCCTACTACATGTTTTTGATGTTATTGGTCTGTGCATATGTCTGGGAAATAGGTTTGAAGCAGCGTCCTTGGGGTAATGGAGATGAAAATTTTTTTAAAATAACATACTGACATCTTCTCAAAAGGTTAATAGCCTATGCCAACTAGGATTTTGATTAAAGTTAATAACCAGGATTGTAAATCTTAACTCTTCTGCCATTGCAGCTTCAAGCACATTTAATTCCTGGATTAAATCTGAATGCCTTGGGTCTGTTCCCACCTTCTTCTTCAGGAATACCACCTCCCGCAGTGAGTGTTGCCTCCGCTGCTGCTGCTGCTTCATATCCACCATTTGGGGTAAGGGAAGTCTCTGATTTTGGATGGTTAGTGGATGGTGATACTAATCTGTACAATGCTGCTGTTCGAAGCTAATCAGTTTGCTGTATTTTTGTCAAATTACCTCAAAGATCTAGGAATAATGGTTTAGTAGCTGTGTCTGTCAGTTTTCTAAATGTTGTCTGTCTTCCTGCTTGCATACTGAAAATATTTCATGTGGCTGTGGTTGGGAGCAGGCATTCATTGGTCATTTAGTGAAATGCTCAGTGAAACCAGAAAATGGTGTTGCTTAGAAAAGTATTAGATCCTATTTTCTAGAGAACTCGAATTATTACAAAAAGAAATATAAAATGGAATTTAAAAATTGCTGGAATTTGCAATTAATAATGTTAGTCTGCAATTGTATTCCTGTTGATATGGAAGGAAAAAAAAAAAATTATTACAAAAAGAAATATAAAATGGAATTTAAAAATTGCTGGAATTTGCAATTAATAATGTTAGTCTGCTGCAATTGTCCTGTTGATATGGAAGGAAAAAAAAAATCTCGTCATAAAGCGGGAATCTATATGTAGAAAAAATGTTTGTTTGAATGTAGTAGTTTTATCAATGTACAAGCCCTGTTGAAATGCAGTATTGCTAAATATATAGGATTTAAATTACATGGATTAGTCTCCAGAAAGCTGTGATCTACTTGCCACATTGCTCTCTAAGAAATATGTGAAAAAGTTCAATAGAATCTTACTCAAATCCAGTGCTGGTTAGTAATCATAAATGAGGTCTTTTGCTATGGAGCAGAAGATAATTTGTTATATTGGAAAGCTCCAGAGTCTTTCTGGAAAGAGGTGGTGTTCTGCTATTCAAGAAAAGACAACCTCATTACACAGAGAAGGTGATTTTTCATCTCTCTTCCCTGTTTGCGGTGGTGGTTGTTGTTAGCAACTCAATGGAAGATGAATTTTCAAAATGAACTCTAACGAGTGGATGACAGAGCTTTACAAACTCTGACGTGGCTGACTTTGCCCTCTTCTTAGCTCTCTAGATGTTACTGTTAAGCAAAGTCTGAGACTCTTAATGAACTAGAAAAGTGAAAATGCAGCACAGCACACTGAACTTCATGAAATAACTCAAGTGGGCGTGTGTGTGTGTGTATATATATATATATTGCACTAAAGGGAAGTTGTTGCCTAAATATTTTTCCCAGAGGAAGAAGCCAAGAAAATGTCACTGCAAGGAACAGGAAAAATTCCACACTCATAGCGTTGTTTGTGGGAATGAACAACTTGGGTGTTATGAATGTATTATAAACTATATTGAGTATAATAGTGGCTTTATCAGGAAAAAGCGCTCCAATGAAAACTACAACAGAAATATGTTTATACTCTGTTATTTTACTGCTAATAGCAGTGCCTCTATTTATGACAAACAAATTCTCCCCCCCCCCCCCCCCCCCCCCCCCCCCCCAGTCTCCCTGCGCTTTGATTAGAGTGGCAGACTAAATTAAAAAAATACAGGTTTCTGCTTCATTTTATCGTATAAAATGCCATCTGTGGTAATGGATTGCCTCAATTTATTTCTTCTTTTTTAAGAGAAACTAGAGGTGATTTTTAAACAGTATATAACTTTCTTTTCTTTAGGGGTAATGAAAAGTGTAACTTTTTCTTTCTTTTTACTCCAGATTTGCAAACTACTTTGCTATTCTTGAGATTTGTACTGTAAGCCTACAGTTCTGTTCCTCACTTGGTTTATTTTCATTTCTTTCCCACTTTTTGTTGTGGTTCTTTCTTGCTTTTGCTTTTAAATATGCACCTAAACAGTGCTGAATTGGGTGATTTCAGTCTTACTCCCGTCTGTCCCTCTGTTGCTAGTGCACCTTTGTCCCCCCCAGATGCACCTTTTTTGGCCTGCTAGGATCTCTGGCAGTTTCCAGGTTTCTGGAAATAGGATAGTGGCAACATCTGGAAAAAGGCATCAAGTAACAAGTGTCATTGTGTAGAAGAGTAGAAACTTTGCAGCTGGAAGGACCACACTGTCTGAACTCTCTCTTGCTCCTGTTCATGCTGTTTGCTCAGTCCTCTGAAGAAGTTCTCATTCCAGATAGTCTAGATGTATGACAAGCTAACATGCAAAAAGAAGGGATAAACTCACAGATTCAGAGGATAAACTCTGGCTTTTGTGGAGGTTGGGGGCGGTACCAAGACAGCCCCTGAACCTGATACTAAGGGCTTCTGAAAAAAATGCATCAACAATTGAAACTATCTCACATTTTCTTACTTGCATGTGACCTTATCTGGAAAAGAGCAGGTGGTTCTGTGGGCTTCAGGCAAGTCAGCCCCTCAGATTACTTGGAGTAGCTGTCCCTCCTCGGGGAGAGGAAAACAAGGAAAAGTATGAGTTTACCTTTTAATGGATGCAGTTTTCCAGAAAAAGTTTTTCTTTTTTTTTTTACTTTATTGGACAAAGACTTTTAAATCTTGTTTGTGTATTAAGTGAGGTTCTGTAATTTCTGAGTTTTACTCCTCTCTACTAATTTTTTTTTTCTCTCTAGTAGAACAATTTTTAAGACGCTGATTAAATAGGGTATTGGGGCATGTAGAAGTAGAAAGAGCAAAAGAGAAGGGCTGGCTATATTTTGAAGAAATGGAAACAATTTAACTATAAACAAGGTAACTGCAGAGGGGGATCTAGGAATGCTCATAAGGGATTTAAAGTAAAATAAAAATCTGTGTGAGTAAAAGAGGCTTCAGGGAAAGAAGGACTTAGAAGAAGCATTAATGAAGAAATCATGGGGAGACTTTATGTCTGTTTACTTATGAACTATTTGTTACCAAGTTGCTTGTTTTGCCAAAAGCATTTGGGCAACCCAAGTCCCTTTAGCTTGTTTTGAGTGGATGTCCTTGTACGCTTGGGAGCACTGGTTAGCTGGCACTGAGGGATATCCCTTCCAGGCAGCTGAAAATCCTTTCTGAAAATACCACTGGCATGAGGGTATAAGAAGTGTATCCTGCTGCTGTCTTGCTTATTTTTGTCAGTGCAAATTTTGCCTTCTGCTCAGGGCTGGACATGGGTGGCTCTTCCCTGTCTCCTGTTTATTTGACTGAGCAAAGGTGTGTTCCTCAGCAATTTCAGCTACGCCACCATCAGGGGCCTCTTGGCATCTAATGTCAGTGAAGTCCTTTTGTGAATGTGTGCTTACAAACCATATAGTGAACCTTGGGACCCCACTATGATGTGCCTGAGGGTTATGAAGCTTTTGTTTGAATGCCTTTGAATGTATGGACCCTTTCTTCACCTTGTTGTGGAGTTGGACCCACAAGTGGCTCTCCCTTGGGTCAGAAGAGGTAGGTGGGTGAGCTTTGGGCATTTGCAGAAGAGTTTCCGTATGGACATGATCCTTCATGTGTACTATTTTCTAGTGACAAGGTGTTGCTGTCACCTTGTGCAGGACTCGTTCCCAAAGAAACTGAGGTGTCATCTTAATTATTGAAACAAGTGTCTGTGACATTCCTGATGCTGCTTTTTTATATGGGTGGAAAGAGAAAAATCTGCATAGTAAACTGATCTAGGATTTTGTTATGTTGCCAGAGCTTAAAGTGACAGGTCTGAACACCCACATATACAGCTGTAGCCAAGTATTCCTAAAACTGAGTATTCAGGAGCTTGGACTGAGTAATTAGATAGGTTTAGCTGTGTTGATGTGAGCTCTGTGATGCTTCATCCTCTCCCTCTTCATGCAAAACTTTAAGGCGTATTTGACAAGAGCATAAACACTGTTTGCCAGCTGCTTCAGGAATAGTCTGGTGTCACGAACTTAGGAGATGGCAAGGTTATCAAACACTGGTTTGCATTTAGCTCCTTGGACTGGCTCATGTTCAGGAGAACAATTTCCATGTGACTGAGATACCTCATTCTCTATGGTCCATCTCCACGATGGTTCACACTGGTGTATAACACCAAAGTCTTATTGCATCGAGCCTCATCTAATTTAATCTAATGAGATGCAGTTTCTGTCTCACTAAGAATCTGGTTGTTGCTTCACCCTTTGTCCTGGCAGTAGAGTCCATACAGGAAGGCACAGGCTGTTCTTGGTACCTGTCTGTTTACAGATATAAACACGCATGTGTGCACGTGTCCGCTGCACATGGCTAACAGTGTCTGAGCACCACATCTAGTGCAGGCTAACCATTTTTTTTTATATTTACCTATCACTAGCACTAATTCTTGATATTGCAACTGTATAATTTATTTGCAAAGTCCAAGCTCTGTCTGCATGTTTAAAGCACTCATTTTGTGTAGTCATTTAAATGGGATGCAATGAAATTGCATATTGTGTTTCGATTCCTGAATTTTCCTGTCTCTTTTTGCAAAAATCCAAGATCTGTATACTTTTCTCTGGCCTCCTAAAAGACAAGTAAATCAGAACATGTGGGAATCATCGAAATGTTTTAAGGTTTGAGGAAAAAAGCAGGACTTAAGAAATACCTCAGTTAAGAATATTAGGAGTTAAAAATTCTTTTTACTGTCAAATGGGCATGATTTTACTCTTATGATCCTGGTGATATGATAAAACTAATGGTTTTTTTTTTTTGATGAATGTGTGCCCTTGTGTGATCATGCTAAGGACTGGTAGCCTTTCTGTGCCTATTTGTAGCTGATGTCTCATCCAGCTGCTTTTGGGCCTGGAGAACTACCACTTTCTGTTTACCCTTAAATCTTTCTCCTTAACTCTGCACTTAAATGCTTGTGTGTTGCAGTTCTGACATAATTGAAAATAGTTTAGTTAGTCTGCCCACTATCACTTGTAATGAATTACATGAGCTGAGCACCTGCACAAAGAATTGGGATTTGTATGAGGAGAGTAAGATTCTGCAAAAATGAATATGCCCTCTGCTTCCATTTTCCAGAAGATATGTTGCCGCAAAAAATGTTTTAGAAAGTTTCCCAGCCAAACGGCTTCAGATGTAGTGTTGTACTGCTCAAAGCTGTTTTGATGAAGTTGTTGCTTCTGTCTTCTGAACTTTGGGGAGAATATACACATAATTGTCTCTCAAGAATAGAAGTTTATTCTCTTGCAACACTGAAGATTTTAAAGCTCCAAACAAACAAGAAATCCTTGTTTTAGAGTTCAACTGTGTACAGTCATGCAATTAAATACACCTGGCCAATCTACTGGGGTTAAGTGGGTTGCACCCTTCCTTTTATAATTGAAACTTTGCATGTTTAATTGTACATCTGACTGCATTTCTTTTGTAGCCTTTGGGTCTGAAATTTGGCATCCCAAGAGTATGGGGAAAGGAGGGCTAACCTGTGGAGAGCTCATCCTGCCCTTGAATGTCCTGAAACAGGGCGGTAGAATTAATTCTGTCTGTTGCATGGCAGATGTACTCAAACATATAGGAAGGTGAAAAGTAGACAGCTTTCCTCTACAAGAGGAGTTCACGCCAGCTGCTCTCCTGCATCTGTAATGTCCTGTAAGAGATAGCTGAACTTCTGCTGTGTGAAAGTTAGCTAAGGTGAAGAGATGCTTCTCTGCTTGCAGTAGGACTGCTTTCTCTACTGGTCTTTTTGCACACCTGTTGTAGCTTCTTGAAGCTCTACCCTCAAAATGTACTCTTTCTAACCTTTTCTTTAGCCTCACAGTTAATTTTCAGGTTATGTGATATGCATAGAGGCTTCTAGGAAGGGAAAAAAAAGAAGAAAAAAGAAAAAGGTAGTTTGCTACAGTAAACAAAACCAAGAAATCAAACCACCTTTTTCTGATGACAAAAGAAGTCTTGTACAGCTAGGCTGATAGGTTGCTTTCCTTTATTCTTTTTGCCATCTCTTGAAGCTTTTTGTTGCAGGTGAGGAACATGCCAATGGAAAACTTTATCCTTAGAAGATGTTGTGGTCAAGAGAGATTCCTTCTTTATTCTCCAGTAACCTTCTTAAATAATAATAATAAAGAAGAGATCTTCTATATCGCATAGATGTAAGAGAAGAAATAACTGTATTATGCTTTTGGCAGGAAAGAAAAGTAATTTAAAATGAAAAATTGCTTCATTGAGGGCCTTCATTTGATGCCCTGAGCATAGATGAGAGACAAGGAAGAGGAAAAACTGTCCTATGTTTCCAGGTACTTTGACTCTTACTTGGTGGAGTTGGGCTCCTTTGGATGTCTGGGTTTGACAGGATTAGCTTGTGCAACTGTTACGTCTAAACTACCCAGAGGTAGTAACGTATGTACATCTATAATGTGTGTAATTGTAAGTGGCTTTGCCCTAATTTGGCTAGCTTGTTAAGCAGTAGATGATTTTGTGAGGAGCTGTCCTACAGCCAAAAGAGGATGTGGTTTTTGGGGGGTGAAGAAGGATTTGCCAGTGTTTTTTACAAAATGGTTTTATATCGGTGAAATGAAAACCATACATGTGCAGCACACACAATTTTGAGGGCGGCACTATAGGACAACAGCATTGCCTGAAAAAAACCACTACCAGCTAATTAGACTTCTTCGGAAGATTGTAACCTCAGTGCCTTGAATACACCTTTCCTGCTGCTTAGTTTCTTAAATTCATTAATGATGCATTTTTGACAACTAAGAAATTTGCTCCATGGTGCATAACATTGTGGGATTGTTCTGCCCTGTGGAGAAAATGGTTGGTCCTCCCACTGCCTCGAAGTCTGCTGCTCCTACCATGCTGTGTTGGCAGGGACCCATGTCCGGAGTAATCAGAAACTATTCTGCCTCTGGAGATGGACTGGCCCCCAATGAGGGAAGCAAAAATGCAATTGGCACCATGTGATGTACAAAGATCTGGCAAGTTGACAGCTGGTATTTTTTTCCGAGGTGTTGAAGCCTCCAGTTATTCTTAATAGCTCTTTTTACAGTTCTCAGGTTGTCATAATGCAAATAGCATCACTCACTAACTAGTAATGCACTCTTTTTAAAATAAAAATGGCTTCTTCCTCACTGCAGTTTTGAATACTTATAGTGATATTTGTAGTTTGGACAAGAGATAAGAATTTGTGTTGGTCCCCTGCTCCCAGATTCTTGTCACGGGAAGAAGATTTAATCGGTGTTCCCTTGAACATCTCAGACTCCCAAGCTTCTAAGTACCAGGCTCAGCATCTTCTGAATGTTAAACTAAATGGGAAATTTAATTCCTTAAGGTGCCAAATAATATTTTGTTACTGGAGTGTGCTGAGCTCCTTCAGGCCAGAAACAAAAATAGGTCAAGTCCTCATTCTGGTGTAGCTGGCTCCATCTCTGGTTTGTTTGTTCGTTAAACATGATGGAAAAATAAGTGACCTTTCTGTGTTTTCACAACCTGTTTTTCTTGCAGCTGCCAAGGAATCTGAGAGCAGTGTCTTTGTAAACCAGAGCTGATGAGTACCTGTATCTTTCAAAGCCACAGATTTCATGGGCAGCTTCTAGGAGTCTGGAGTACCCATGTGGCTGGTGTGTCACAGCCACGAGTTTTGAAGTGGAAGTGTTTCTATACATAAGCACTTTTGTTTTGGCGGTCGTGCAGTGTTGCAACACCAAATTACCTGTGTTTGCTGCTTGTGAATGACCAGCAAAATTCCTGCTTACGTAGTTTCACAATCTGTTCCTTATGTTGATTTCTGCTTTTGGCTGTCTATTCAGAATAAAAGGTGGCAGATTGCTTTTTTTGGCATTGTGGCCAATCAGATTTTGCAAAAACAAAAAGTTCATGCCATGTTCAGAAATATGTCAGACCTGTTCCTGCTTGTGAAATGTCTTATAACGAGCCTGCCAGAAAATGTTCCTTCTCTGCTTCTGTGATTTCTACCCCCTCGTTCCTGGCTAGGTTTTCATGTTGGAAACACTTCTGATAGGCGTGGTCCTGTTAGCAACTTCTAGTAGTCTGAGGAGATCCCCATGGCTTGCCAGGTAGAAGACGATGGTGATGAAAAGTACTAAAGTTGAGAGCTAAGTACTAAAGTTGAGAGCTAAGAAGTGGAGTGAATAGTACTAAGTGAGATCATTTTAGTAGCATCTTGCTTAAGGTACTGACCATTGTGTAATAACCAGCTGTGTTTGAGTTTCAGGTGTTGAAATGCAGTAGTCCCCAAACTGGAAATGCAGACGGGTTATTGCTGCGGTTTTCAACCAAGAGGAGAGGATCAGCTCAGCTAGCTGGACAGAGGGCTCTCACCCGCACGGCATTCTTTCTGGGTGTCCAGGACTGATGCGGGGGGGGAAGAGGTAGAGCTGCATGGCCTTGCTGTGGGCTGATTGCCTCAGAAAGGGTCATGCTCTTGGTTCATCTAGTGACATAAGCGTTTCTTACGTGATGCAGCAGTAATGCTTGCAGGGTAGGGGGGAGCCAGCTCTGCTCTGAACGCAGCAGGTTGCCAGCCCAGAGACCCGGGAGGTGGTGTGATGAGCTCCTAGCCACACTAGGAGAAGGTTGCTGCAAGCGTGATGTTGAAGCTGCTGTTGGGGAGTTCCTTCTTGTACTTGGAAATCCTTCCCACTGCTCCTGCCTCTCACATCAATCTGGGGTTCATGTGAAGATGAAGCCCTGGGTGGATGGTGGCAGTAGAGTTTGTGCATGGGAAAATGGGTGATGGTTCCGGGTGTCCGGAGCGAAGTTAAAAATACATGTTGCTTCCTTTAAATTATGTTTTGCTAGCTCTTGACTGACCGAATTCAGCAGTGAAGAACTCTACCTTCTGAGTGTAGTCCTGGCTTTTCAGGTAGTGAATGTGGCAGAAGGTTTTAGACTTGCAGCATGGGCTTAAAGCTGTTCTAAATAAACCCAAAAAGCTCGGAGGGTGGGGGGAGCTCAGGCTTCAGTTTGTTAATCTACACTGGCAGCCCCGCTTTAGCTGATGTACAAGACGGTGACCCAAGAGGTATTTGCAAGGATGTTGTAAACCTGTGGATCACATTAGACCTATCTACCAAGACTTTAAATAAGTTTTCCTTAATGAGCCTCTTGTTTCCAACAAAGGCTTAAACTTTTAGCATTAGTATTGGAAAATGAATACACTAGGATTTCTTTCACCGGTGTCAAAAGCTTATTTTTTATTAATGCATTGAATCCTACTGGAATGTCTTCAAGGATACTTGGCTTAATGTTGGTTTCCCCTTGCTGCAAGTTTTTATTACTAAATAAATAAGAGCATTTAGTATAGCTGTAGGCCAGGATAATTCTTCACAGTGCATTGCAAAAACATGTTTTAAATTTTGGCTTTGGGTCTGGTAGAGGGTTTGGATAAAATGATACCTCACTTCCTGACAAAGCTTAGGGTATTCTGAAGACCAAGTGAGTCATCTGTAAATCTGCCTTGCCTTGGTGATGGTGATCATGGCAGTTGGGAAGGGGGAGAATGGCAAAAGAGAACTTTTTAATGCAGTCATCTACTGGTTGTATTTTTTACTTTACAAAGTGGATTTGTTTACTATTTAAAAACAAAAAAACCACCAATAAACCACTAGGCTAGATGGTAGCCAAACACTGGCTGAGACTGTTCCATGCAGTCTTAAAATAGTTTTAAATTATTTCCCTTACAGCTAAAAAAAAAATGATGCTGGCTAGAAATGGATAACATGACTTTGTGACTTAAAATAAATGTCTCGTCCTAAGGTAATTCATTTGCAACACATTTAGAGTAAATGAAAACATGTACTGGAGATGCATAATGGGCTTAGAAACCAGCAAAGATCTGATTCTGCTCCCATTGATGTCTGGCACAAAATCCTATTTACTTCAGTGGGTACAATATTTTTAAAGATTTACAACCTTATCCCAAATGTTGCCATGGATTTACCAACCACATACATTTGATGGAGCAGAGGATCTATGCAGACGCTTAAAAACATGAGTGGAAAAAAATTTGTACTGTTGGCAGGCTTGCAGAAAAAGACTGAGATTAATGTTTAAGTTAACACGAGGGACAAAAATAACAAACATGTCCCCTTACTAGCCCTGCGATGGGTGGGATCACATGCTCATACTGACTGAGGGAGCTGTGGACTGGCGTAGCAGCAGCGTCAGCTGAAGGCAAGAGAGGGGGGTTTATCTTGGGGAAGAACTGAGGAGGCAAAACTTTTTTTTTTTAATTTTGTGGTGGTGTTTTTGTGTGTGTTTGGGTTTTGTTTTTTTTAAATACCATTCCCCAAGTACAATGTCCACTCCCCCAACTCTGGTGGTTGGGGACCTACTTTTTTACCTACCACCATCTATCTGAAGAATCATAGCTTTATTTTTCTGAGTTTTCATCTTTGCCTGGCCATGCTTTGGCTGGTATGCAAGCGTGAGATGAGGAGGAGTGCTTTCTCCTTCTGATCTGTCAGGTAAGGGAAAAGCTCTCCTTGTGTGTGATTTTGGGCAGTTTGTAGGACTGATGGACCAGGCCTTGGCAGAAGTGTTACCGTAAGTTTATCCCAAGGGCAGCCTGTTGGGCTCTACAGATCTTTCTAACTCTGCAAGCAAGAGTTGCAGAAAGAACAGTGAATCTGCAGACTTTCTTGGCTGGGAGTCCTCAGCTTCTAGCTCTGGTGTGGAGCAGTAGCCCTCATGCTGAAGGGCATAGGGCAATATCCCAAGGAGGGGAAGAGCCTCACCCCAGCTGAGGCTCTGGACACTAAGAAATGACTGCTCTGCTAAGCTAGTTTGCTAAGAATAAACTATAAGGTGGTTGGGATGGCAGCAGAGAAGCGATTCTCCTGGGAAAATCTTCTGTAGGGCTGCAGAGTCTGGTTGGAGTGAAGGGGACATTCCTGACAGTACCTGCAGTGCAGGGGCTCCAGACAGGCCCAGTGTAATGGGGAAGCAGCCAGGGGGGTTGGTTACAGGCTTTAGGAACAGATTAGGCTAGATCTTGGGTGGAGGTGGTGGGAATTTAAAAAAGAAATTTTTTTTTTTTAAAGAAATAGTTGGTATGGGCTGTTAGGCTAGGGACAGATGGCTGGTGTTCAGGGACTTGCAGGAGGTATGGAAGGAAGTGTATCCAAGCTGCTACAGGAAAGAGTTGGACTAGTGTAAAACGTTAGAGCTGCTGGTGTGCAGAAGCAGTTGCTTAGCTTCATCCAATGGGGTACATTAATTTACACCTCTGTGTTGGATGAGTTTTCAATCATATCTGCAGACTTTCTTGGCTGGGAGTCCTCAGCTTCTAGCTCTGGTGTGGAGCAGTAGCCCTCATGCTGAAGGGCATAGGGCAATATCCCAAGGAGGGGAAGAGCCTCACCCCAGCTGAGGCTCTGGACACTAAGAAATGACTGCTCTGCTAAGCTAGTTTGCTAAGAATAAACTATAAGGTGGTTGGGATGGCAGCAGAGAAGCGATTCTCCTGGGAAAATCTTCTGTAGGGCTGCAGAGTCTGGTTGGAGTGAAGGGGACATTCCTGACAGTACCTGCAGTGCAGGGGCTCCAGACAGGCCCAGTGTAATGGGGAAGCAGCCAGGGGGGTTGGTTACAGGCTTTAGGAACAGATTAGGCTAGATCTTGGGTGGAGGTGGTGGGAATTTAAAAAAGAAATTTTTTTTTTTTAAAGAAATAGTTGGTATGGGCTGTTAGGCTAGGGACAGATGGCTGGTGTTCAGGGACTTGCAGGAGGTATGGAAGGAAGTGTATCCAAGCTGCTACAGGAAAGAGTTGGACTAGTGTAAAACGTTAGAGCTGCTGGTGTGCAGAAGCAGTTGCTTAGCTTCATCCAATGGGGTACATTAATTTACACGTCTGTGTTAGATGAGTTTTCAATCATGATTTAAATGAGCAAGCAGGAAATCTGATTTAAGTTAACTTATCAAGTTTTACATCTGTACTTTAGTTACCTTTCTGAAAGCCTTAGTGTAGTCTGTACCACCACAGCTACCCTTTGCTAATGTAGTGAATATATCTTTCTATTTAAACAAGTATGCAGTTTACCATTTGCTTTGGTTAATATATTTTTTCCATTTTCTGTTAAAAATGATGAATAGTGCTTTTCTTATTTGCTTGATTAATTTTTAGCTTCTGATTTTCATCAGGCTACATTTGGATGGAAATTGGAATCCAATTAATGAACAAAACCAGCATTTAAAATTGTTTTCATTAGTTAAATGGGCTGGATATAGGCGAAAATTCCTTATCAAGCCTGTTTTATGTTTAAAGCATACTGATTTTTGCAGAAACAAAGCAAGTATTATCAGCTGTTTATGAACTGAATTAATTGTTTCTGGTCACCATGCTCTTCAAGAATCTGTTTCTTAGAACTAAGAAATCTCAGTTTCTGAATCTCTGGTTCTGGAGCTCTTTTTTTTTTTTTTGAAATATTTTTAATTCTAAGAAACAAAGTTCTCCATCTGAGTGAACGTCCTGGTGTTGTCTAACTGTGTGCCCCAGCTACGCGAGACAGAAACTTCTCTCCCCAAAGCCATATTCCTCAAGTGTATGCAGGCCTCCCACCCCACTGCCCAGAAGAGTATGTAGCTTGCTTTATGCTGTTTGGACCTGTTCAACTTTAGGGTGGACTAGTCCTGAGCCCATCCCACAAATATTGCTAGGGCAGAAGAGGTGGTTTGTGCATCACAGACCTCTGAGACGGTTACTCACAAATTAGGGTGGATGTATAGGCCATACATCTTGGAGAACCTAGGTTACTATTTTAAAATATCTTTTTTTTTTTTTTCTCATACTTCTGTCAGTTCCCAGGGCTGGGCTGGTCTTGAATAAACTATTTTCTTATGTGGGGGGAAAATAAAGTGAATGGGGAAGAGGAGAAAACTGCACAGAATTCTCCACGTACAGGAGACCTTACTGTTGTCAAAAAATCAGTTGATGACTAATTCCATGACTTAATGAACTTTATAACTTTGGTAATGAATGCACACTGCTTTAACGTTTAGACTGAAAAGTATTTAAATTTTATAACTATACCGTTAAAGCCCTTAAAATTATGAAGTAAAAAAGATGAACCGCAGGATGCTCTCAAGAGACATTACAGGCAGATATTCTCCAAGATATATATATACACATATATATTTTAGTTTTTAAATTTTAAGTATATGTTTAAGCAAACTTGGCCTTGTTAAGGAAGTGAACGTTGAAGCTCAGATTCCACACAGTGGGAAATCAGTTCCCTAAATTTAGTGCTTCTAACATATGTTTAAGATCTCGGAATCTATTTCTGATATAACTCATGCTAGAAGTTCCTGGAAAGCTCTGTGATTTATGTGGCATGGCATGGGGAAGATTAAATTATAGTTGATTTTCTTCCATCCTAAGATCCCCAGAAGCATGTGTAAGATTGATGTGTGGTGTAGTCATTGCATTACGTTTTGATGTGTTTCTTTTGGAGGATAGTCTTCCAGTAAATACAAAAGGATTTTAAAATTATTATGGGTAAGGAGGTGGACAGATAATAAATTGGACTTGGTGTTATGATACTCTCTTAAAAGCCTTAGCTAGACTTGATTTCTGCCAGAAGAAAAAGAAAGAGCTGTTGTTTTTGATGTTCATGCTTTAAAACAAATCATACAGTATGGTTTTTTTGAGTCGTTAAAAATCAGTGTGGGTAAGGAAATGGACATAATTTCTCTAAATCCTGCGTGATGTTATACTGGAGATGAATTTGGTTATACGTATGTGCCAATGTGCTTCTGCAGACAAGAATTTGAAAAATGACAATGTATAAACAGTTCAGTATTGACAGATTCTCCACTGTTCCTTAATAAACATATATAACTATTACACCAAAATGGAAGTTTAACATTAAAGAACCTCACTCACACAAAAATAATAAAATTCCTTCAGGAAAAAAGAATTTGAAATGTATCAAGTCAAAACTATGAGGAGGGATGGGGGAGAGCGCTACAGTGAGCTGACTGTACAGTTGGAAAGACACATGTACATCTTCTGTCTTTCATTGCCTTTGCCCATGTTTCATGTTTAAGGGTGAGGTAGCAGAAAGGAATTTCAGTGGTGAATTGAATCTAGCCAAGAAAGTGGCTTGAAATCAAGCTTTGGGAAGAAGAGGGGAAAACTGTGCTGCAGGCAGATGGGCAACAGAGGGAAGGCAGGAAATATCTGCAAACAAAAGTAATGAAGTCTGATTTGTTTCTATGGTAGAGAAATGTGTCTGGAGGTAGGTTTAGGTAGAAGCTGTGTAAATTCCTGAAAACCAAGTCAAGTTACATCTTCGATGTGTAGCAGCGTTGTATGAATTAGCTGGAAAGTTTGTGTGCATTAGCTCAAAGTTTAGCTGGAAGAGGGTGGATGGAGTTGCGTGTGGGAGGGGAAACTTTGGCAGTGGACTTTTGCAGGAGCATGTGTGGACAATTGAAGGTAGGGGTCAAGGAGATGAGTGAGCAAGGGGTGGCTAAGCTGTCTGCACCTGGATTGGAAAGAGAGGTTGCCTCTACACCCAGTGCAGTTAGTATGGGTCCTTGCAACAAAACTGGAAAAAACCAAATGCCTCATGAATTTGTATCCATTTAGAAACAGTTTTCCAAAGTGGTGAGATCAACCAAGTACCTACAGTAGCATTTCCAAGTTACTGGAAATCTTGCTGGATTCACAATGAACGTGTAAAAGGACTTACTGTGAGTACACTTCACAGGATGTTTGTAATAATAGGAGGAGAAAATGAGTAATCTTCTGGAAAGCAGTTTAACATATATACTGAAGTGACTGGTATCTTTCATTACCAATATGTAGTTTCAGGGCGTAGTTTTGAGATCGTTTTAAACTGATCTGTAGGCAGATTAAAAGGGGTGTTCCCACCTTTTCCCATGCCCTGACCTAATTGTTGTTGCTTCCTCCCTTGTTCCAGGACTGCCGCTTTTGTGGCTCTCTGGTTATTCGGATCAGGGACCCACTGCCTGCCTTAAAAATCAGCTGGGTATGCAATCCTGCTGGCCGCAAAGCACACAGGGCAGTGGGGAGGCTGGGTGTGGAGGGCTGCAACCTGTGTCCAGGGAAAACGTGGGCTTAAACCAGCATAAACTGACTGTGAATCCTGATGCTTTGTACGTGTGAAAACACAGGGTGAATTGTGCAACTGTTGTGATCACCTAAAGCAACTGGCAGAATGTGTTTCTATTCTCAATATCCTATTTTGGGGTTTCTTCACCTGGAACATGGAGCTGTGCCTGGAATTCGTTTCCCCTGAGGTTACAGTTGACTTGCGTTTACCAAAAATAAAGTGGCAAAACTTGGAAACAAGCATTTTGTTCTGATTTGTTTACGGTTAATGCACTGGGACTTTGCTTCCCCTTGAAAGAAGTTACTGAAATTTAAAAATAAGTGGAGATAACTTTTTAGGATTGCAGCTGCTTTTTGCTTTGTGTTGCATATAGCGTATCTTTTTCTGAAAATATCCCAGAAAAAGCTGCTTTGGTGAGCTTCCCTACGTGGGTCTGTATCCTTACCAAAATATACAAGTGAGCAAAGCTAAATGAGCACAGTTGGTCCCACGTGCACTGCTCGCTGGTGCTGAGGCTGGTCTGCATGATGGGCGCTGAGAAAGTGAGGATGAGGATGGCTGCGTTGTCTTCAAATACCTCTGCAAGAAAAGGGCTTGTTGGCTTTGTCTTGTTGAGGATGAGCAAAACAAACTTTGAAAATACATGAGAGGGCTACATAGAGGAAGAAATGCTTTCAAAGGGGGAGTGGTGGTGTCTTAAATACCTCCTAGTTCAAAGAAAGGCTTGTGTGAAATGCTTTTGAGAAGTAACCCTGACATAAGTGGATGGATTAATGGTACGGTGGCGTAATGGGCACTCGGCGGTGCTCCGTTAGTCCGAGATGAGCTCTTCTGAGCCTGCTAAAATAGCTATGGCTTATGGTGGCATATGTAACCCCGCGGTTCGGTTCGCTCATCGCTATGCAGCACGTAGAGAGGATCTCAAGTGTTACGCTGTGCTCTCCAGCTGGGGTGTCTACTTGAAAGCAACAGGAAGCTGCAGTGGTGCCTGATACCCAGTGGGTGCAATGTTAGGGTCCTCGCTTTTAAGAACGCCTAATCTGGCGTTTAATTTACTCGCCTGATTGAGGCCTGCTGCCAAGGCTCCAACTGTTGCATAATGTTACACAGGAGGAATCGCTGGCAGTTTTCTAGCTGGCTATCATTCCAGATCACTCCCACACAAAGGAAACTGTAGCATATATGTAACTCTGAGGCTTTTTGTGCCGCTCTCAGCACAATCTAAAATTAAAAAAATAACTAGGAAAACTAGAAGGAGTTTGCCTGCTCAGGCTGTAGCCCCTCTGCTTTGTAGCAGCCTCATCTGCAGAGTCTTGCATGTGGAAGAGAATCCAGACAGTGACAGGTAAGAATGAAAGCCTCGCAAAGAAGCAACACCTCAGTCATTTTAAAAAAACTCTAAGCATTACAATTGCAAGTATTTTATAAAAGATGAAAGAATCCTCTTTTGGCTCAAACTGTTCTTTCCTGTTCTGTGAATTTTGTGATTCCCAGGAAAAGCCAGACCCTTAATATTCAGACATCACAGGGCATCGTAAGATTTCCCCCTCATTTCCATGCATGCCTGTTCCATACCCGTTTTCCTGTCAGTCTGATTTGTAATGTTCAAAAACATTCACTGCATATTTCCTTCTTCCCCACAGCAACAGCCCGAGTCTGAGACTGTTCATCTGTTCATCCCAGCCTTGGCAGTTGGAGCTATTATTGGCAAGCAGGGACAGCACATCAAACAACTTTCTCGTTTTGCAGGCGCATCTATTAAGGTATTATTACACTGACTAACTTTCTGTCTATTCTACATGACACTTTCAGCAAGTTTGCACAAGCTGTGTTTTCGTGAATGTCCTCCCCCACTCTGTGCTTAGAATGTGATGTGATAAATGGTACATTTATTTATAAATAATCTTTTAATCTTCCTTGAGACAAGATAATTAGAAGCATGTTTTCAAACGTCTCCTGAGGTGTGAAATATAAGCTGCAAAGAAAACGACTTTGGTGGTCTTGATTTCTTAGAAACAGACTTAAGTCTTAATGGTGCAGTGCATAAAGGCTTTCTTCTTGCTTTTGGTAAAGTGAAAATTGGTGAGGTAAATTCCCCTTCTAAAAACAGCAGCACAGGTGAAGTCGCCTACTGCTGTGGCCACTCTCTGTTCCAGATGGATTGGTCTGGGCTGTCAAGCTTGGATGGCTCCATGCTGAAGCATTCATGTTTTAAAATCACCTGTGTACTCCAGGCTTCTGGGGTCGGTCAGTTCTTTAACATCATGTTTACGGCAGCATGCTGCTTTAACATCCAGCTGTTTGTGTGTTGACTACCTCAATATAGCTAAGAACAAGATGGTTTGCAGAGGTTGACCTAATGGAAGCTTAAGTTTGAATTTTAGTCAATTTGGTGAAATCCTCCTTGGCTGCGTATAGGCGTTAGTACCAGTTGCAGCTGTAGGAAGGCCTTGGGTTTCTGCTACTAATGCCATCGTAACCACAAGTATCTTATCTAGATGCTTGAGCCAGTTCTGCTATTTTGTGCTGTAAAGATAATGTTTTGGCCTAAATTAAAAAAGAAAAAAGTAAAAAGAAAACAAAAAACCCCCCAAACTACAGTGTGTACCTTTGTTATGTGCTGTCAGATTGACACTTTCCTGCACAGATTAAGCAAATGCTTTCTTCTCGGTTCTCTTTTTGCGCAGGAGATGTGGCCTGTTTAGTGAGTGCTATGGCAGGGATCTGCCAAAGGTCAGGGGCAGGAGCTGGCTATGAGTTGAGCTTGGTGAAGCCGGTGAGGCTGGGCTTGGCTTGGAAAGTGCTCATTTAAGTGTGCAGAGCAAAATAATTGGGGAACCCTGATGAATGAGTCTTGTGTGTGGTTTGCCGAATGCCGATCCATTTACTGGCCAGTCAACCAACTGGCACGGTGCCCAGTTCCATCCTTTATTGAGCAGTACATTAAATGGTTGTTATACTACCCAGATGGTTTGCATTAGAGCACTAGTAATCATATTTTTAGGGGAAAAAATGGAATAGAAGAAAGAGAGGTGTTAATTTTTCTTTATCAAATTTGTCTTGCATGGGGCTGCGATGTATCACATGTATTTCCTTTTTCTCTCTCCATTCCCATAGTTTGTATCCAAAGATTAAGTGGTATATGGAGGGTACTGCTAGGTGGAGAGAGAAAAGTCAAATAACCTGGACCTCCAAGAACCCGTCTAAACTAGTTCTTTAGTTGGCCCTTGGAAGACAGTTTAGTGGAAAGGGAGTTTCCCGTGTTTCTCACGCATCTGGCTAACAGTGGCCTCAGGCTTCCTCTACTGGCTGGCACCCCTCTACCCAACGCATTTAACATATCTGTATTAATTGAAATTCAGTTAAAGTTTGCTAAAGCTCTGGTCTTTTGTTCCTTCAGTAGGAATAAAGTAAATAAGATTTTTGTGGAAATAGGATTAAATCTTAACAGAACTGTACAGATACAGGGTATGCTTGCTAAATTGGGAAGTTGCATGTATGCTTATCAATTAAAATAAAAATGCAACTTCTTCTGTAATCTGACAGAACAATATGGAGCAGCATGCTTGCTTCTGTGTGAAAGTAGTGTTAAAGATGACAGTAGTAACTTATTCAAAACTTCTGAACTTCCCTTGTGTTGACCACCTGCCCTTTATCATAACTTTTGAGCAAAAAAATCCTTGATAATTGTGATTATCAAGGAGTCTGTGCTTTTAGCTAAGAGTTGGAGGGAGTGCTGCCTGAGTAACTTAACTTGCCAAACTGTAGTAATCGTACTTTGTGGAGGAAGTAAGTCTTTGCCTGACACTCTGAACTTGTTTTGAGTTGTGCTGTAGATTGTTACAGATGAAAATGTCTTACACCCCTGTGCACCATCTTTGTGCTCGTGCTGAGCTTTGTAGATCTGATGAAACCCGTTAGCCACAAAGTAAGACTAAATAAACTGCAGATGCACAGGGGTTCCGTGTAAGGCTGCGGTGTCCAGCCCATCACTTCAGAGGTGCGCGTGGCTGTTGATGAGCTCAGGTTGTGTCCCTGTGCTGGGGGTCACTGCTTGGTAATGCAGGCTCGGTGTGGGGCTCCAGCAGACTGAATCATTCAGCAAAGGAGCCAGGCAGAGATTTCTGGGCTGTCTGCTGCCCACCCTGTACTACAGCGCTAGGACCTGTTGGGAACCATTGGCATCTCCTTGGTTATAAATTATTCGCAGAGTTAGCCCTTCCTGTCTCTGAAGGAGTCGGGATGAGCGTTATAGGTTTTGGGTGTATGAAGTTGTCAGCTTGTGACTTGGTATATGGAAGACACGTTGTTTTCTGGTTAGGAATGTAAAACGGTTTCTCTCAGAAGTTAAAAATTCACCACTTGGGTACTATTTGTATGTATATAACTTCTCCTTCCAAGAGCAAACAGACAAAATTAACACTGAAGTCTCTTAGGTTGCCCTTTCAGACATTGAGATGTTAGTCGGTACGTGTTTTTTTTCACAGCCCTCAGACATGTTTTACTCTAGCTGCTGAGAACAGGACACTCTCTAAGATAAAAGCAAAGCAAGAAATGTCCCAGAACATTTAAACACGTGTAAGATGTAACAAAGGCTTGATGGAAAATATTTTTCCTAAAATTTCAATAAAGGCGCTGGTGTTCACTAAGAAAACATGAGGTGACTGAGAGGCAAACTACAATGTCCGTTTTACATGAATGGCAATTATCAGGCTGAGCTCTGTTCAGTCAGCTGCCTCCAAATGTGCCTCAAAATTTTGCCCCTCTAAAATACTTGTGTTCCAAAGAATGAATGGATTTAGTCTGTGCTTGCCCTTACCACAACGTCATGTCTTATAAATGTACTGCTGTAAAATGAATGTGTATTTTTAGATATAGCCAATTGGAATGCAGAAATCATGTGAAAAATAAATATGCAAACCAGATAACTAGTATGTAATGTCTTCGCTATCTTAGGGTACAATATGAATAATTATATAAACTTCGGTTAACAAAATTCTTCAGTGAAAATGATGCATGGTGACTGGTAATTTGTCTGAAATAAACTACAGCTGTTAAATATGAATAACATCCCTATGCCAACAGCTAAGATGAAATCCTGTAGTGTTTAATATATTGCCCATTCAACAGTGGCTATGTAATACTAGATGCAACAATGGAAATGTCAGTTGTGATAAACAAAAGATTCATCCAGAATGTCAGAGGCTAGTTTGAATTATTTAATGCTGCTGGAGTCTGAGAACAACACCCACAGAAATCTTACTTTTGTGGTGACATGAACTGCTAAAGACCCTACAGGCGTCTCTGTCTCAGCTCTGGTGGAGTTTAATTTTTATTTGGGTCACACAAATAAATGTCTGTAGATACAAACCCCTTGGAAACTGCGAACTCATTGTCCAGTATAGAGGAATGTTTTGGATCTGATTAGTTACAACAGTAAAGTGATCTTCTGTTCTTAGGGGGATGGATGCAAACTTTTGCTAATGAGCAAAACTTGTTAGAAAGACTATTTAAGTTAGTGGGTAGGGATGAGAATCTCGGTCTATTAACCATACTTGTCTTTTTGAAGGCTACATGTCTTGCATCACTCATAGCCACATGAAAATGGCTTGTGGGATTTTGCCATATGTGGATGAGTAGCTATGCCTTTAATTTTCAGAAGTAAATTTGCTTATGGTTTAGCCAATATCTCCGTATTTCATTATAGCTAATTGATGCATTTTAAAGAGAACAAACCCTTCATGACTGAAGTGTAATGCTGCTGCTGTAACGAATAATTCTTCACTCTTGAACAGAATGTGAGACTGAAACGGGGAGGAGGTGGCTTTAAACTATTCCTTCAAATACAGCTACCAAAAGCTATGTTTATCCATTCCAGATTGCCCCTGCTGAAGGACCAGATGCCAAGCTGAGAATGGTTATCATCACTGGACCTCCAGAAGCTCAGTTCAAGGTACAACATATAAAAACTTGTCAGTCTGTAGTGACCTTCGGACTGTAAGGGACAATCTTGAAAACAAAACACTTGGTTCCAAGCACCATTTTATTCAGAGTTTTAGTAAACACTTGATTTTTGTTTTCCTTTTGCCGAAAGGTATCTCATATGAATGAGTAACATAGTACTATCAGAGGCCACATTCTGGTTACCTGAAAACTGGTGGGAGTTTCATGTCAGTTAGAATCAAGTCTAGCATGAAAATATGGCCATATTGCATTCCTAATTTTCCCTTTTATCTACGAGCACAATAGTGCAGTCTTTCAAGCCTGTCTTAATACATGCAACAGTTTATTTAATTGAAATAACAAAGCTGACAAGATGAGAGACTGAGTCTTCCCAGGTTACTGTTGCGTGCCAAATGGAAAATGGTTTTTGGGTAGCTCTATAGATAAATGCAAGATTTCTAATTGTATTTCCACTACAACTACAAGGAGATACTCAACCTGATTATACCATTTGTGTTCAGATTGAGTTCTGGAGTGGCCTTCTGCCTTAAGTGCCAAGGGATATATCTAGTTACTCCAAAAGGAGTTGACCATGTTAGGAGTGATGCAGACAGCTCAGTGCAGCAGCCTGGCCTCATCACAGATGAGGCTCAGATCAGGTAGAAAGTCACTTGAGAGTTCATGTCCTGGCATTGTTCTCTTGCCTGTTCTTGTTTCTGTCTTCGTATTTTTGCTTCAGGGCATCTTGCAAGAAGGAGGTGCACAAACTTCAGGCATATCTAGAATCAGTTTCATTAATGCTTTTAGGAGTTTTGGAGAAGTATCAGGCCAGGTATTTTGCAGTGGTTATATTGAACTAGATGCATTTGGGATTATTGCTCAGTTATATACATTTGAGAAGCTATTGAAGGCAAAGCATAATTTAGAAGCTATACCTCCTTGAAGTTTTGTGTGTGCATGTGGGCTTGGCCACATGGCATGTTCCACATATGGAGTGCTCTTGTGATCTGTGATCAGCACAAGGTCAGATTCTGGCTATCCATCAGATATCAGTGAACTTGCCCTCAAGCAGTAGCAGGCTGAAATAGATTTGGACATCCCTTATCCCTTTTCATGTAAGCAAAGGCTTGTCCTCAGGCTTTTTCCCTAAGATAGACTTGAAGTCCCACAGAGTTCTTTTGCCAGCTGTCCTCCCCAACCTGGATCATGCAAGGAGGAAAGTCTCCCTTTTCTGCACCCCATGCGTTGGTTAAAACCACATCAATCAGTCACTTCCCTGCACTTCAGCTTCTGCTTGCAAAGAGGGATCAATGTACTAGCACAGCTGATGCTCTTGAGTATGCTGGTCTTGTAAATGAGAGGGGTTATCCTTTGGGGTTTCCTTCAGCTCCAGCCCTCGTAGTCTTTTACTACTCTTTGAGCAATGCCTTCTTGACCGAAATGGGCAGAGGCAGAGTTCAGTCCTTCCTTTTATCACCACTGTTAACCTGAAGCATGCCTTACAGTCAGGGCCAAGCTTCACTAATGCTGTCCTTGAGCTCTGTTTAAGAAGGGTCTTCTCTATCTTTGAGCATGGGCTATTGCTTGTTAGGCACCAAGAATTTAATCTGGGTGCACAAGAACTTGAAGAGGGATTAGCTGCTGCTCAGATGAGTAACCAGCTCTCAGAGAGGTGGTGTCATCCCAGAGCCTGTGAGTTTGGCATCCTTTCCCTACTACATTGTGTTCTGCTGTCTGTGATTCATGTCCATGGTAGCTGCAGTGGCTGCACCCCTTTCTTCCTCAGCTGCAGCAGCCTGAGGATGTTGTGGTATGCAGGGCTATTTATTAGCAAGGCAATGGGAAGAGAATAGGCTGCTGTTTACAGCCTCTGCTGCAGTGCTCCCTAGAGTTTAGGCATACCTGTGACACCAATATTCAGAGATTATCGTGTTGCCTTGGATCTGCGACACATGCAAGTGAAGTGGAATCTAGTGTAGACAACATATTTCAGCCACTATTTTACTGTGAAGGAGCTAGAGACTGGGCCCAGTTAGGTTGTTTCCTTTCCTTAAAGACTTTTTCAAGAACTGAAGGATTTGGGATGTTGGAAATACATCTACTATCCCTTAAAAAGTCAACATCTCATCTTGCTTTATAATTCAGCAGTAATGCATGCTCTTTTCCTGTAGTGCCTCTCCCAGCGAGCTCTGCAGCCTGTGCAGGTTGTGAAGGTGTTATGCACGCGAAAAGCATTGCTATTGAAATAAAAAGGGCTATGCTGGCTCCTGTCTGTCTCTAACAAATTTAGAAACAGTTTCAAAATCTCCAGCTCAAGATGATGGCTGGGAGTAGTATTTTATCTGCTCTTGACAAACCCTTTTGAAGTGTTTTCCTGGAGCAGGAATCTCTGATTCTAGGGCTGTTGGTGGTGCCAGAACGTGGTAGTTGTACTGAGTTCTTGTATAGTTTTTTTTGTGTAGTCTTTTGTCTCACTGGAAAGACGATAGCTTTTGTCATCTGTGACAGGGTCCCATGACCTGCAGTATCCTACCTAGGTCAAAGCCACATGCTACAGATTTTTTCCATACTCTTCAGGCAGAGTCTAACTTACCCCAAATACTGAGCACTTTCAGCTCCAAGGTCACAAAATGTCTTTCATCTTACCCATTCTAGAGTAGCATGAACTCGAGTAGGCTTTTAGGATATGAGCTAGAAATAAGATAAAATAAGCTGCCACTATTTATAATAACAATCACATCATGCAATCTTTTGGGACTTTTCGTATTCTGTTGCAGTGGTGGCTCGTAAGATCATAGAATCATAGAATCATTGAGGTTGGAAAAGACCTCTAAGATCATCGAGTCCAACCGTCAACCCAACACCACCATGCCCACTAAACCATGTCCCTAAGCGCCTCATCTACTCGTCTTTTAAATACCTCCAGGGATGGGGACTCCACCACTTCCCTGGGCAGCCTGTTCCAATGTTTCACCACTCTTTCAGTAAAGAAATTTTTCCTTACATCCAATCTAAACTTCCCCTGCCGCAACTTGAGGCCATAATCCAACTTGATGGTTGGATTTAGCACGTACGCGGTGACAGGGCTGGTGAGCATGATTTAAAGAAGGTGATAAAGAATCTGAACTGGAAAGGCTTTGTGGTCCTAGGTTTATGGTCTTCACAGAGCATCTCTCTTCAGTATCTCAATAGAAATGTTCTTTTGATGCCTCTAGGAGGTATGGAGTAGAAGATCTGGTTACCATTTCTCAAGAATCCTCTGATGAACAGCAGGGAATAAGGAAATAAATGTGTTTAAAAATCAGCAAGATTCATGAGCTTAGTCTCAGTGGACATTCTTCTTGCTACCTGGCACTTGTGTGTTCCCTAGAAAAGGGAACTGTGTGCTGGGCGGAGTAATACTGTTCCCATGGTGCTATTTAGATCTACAGTTTGATTTTTTTTCCACTTTAGAAAATTGAGCAAGGTCAGATTTATTTATTTTTAAACTATATGTTGTAATGGATTGTAAAAGTAAGCTGTTTGCTCTAATTGGAGTCTTTATCCCATGACTTGTTTGGGGTGGGGGGGTGGCTTTTTTCTTTTTTAGTTTAGTGTCCTTAAAAGAATGGATTTCTGAGCCAATTAATTGCATTCTGTGCTTCTGGGTGTAATAAGTGCTTCAGCCAGCCAGTTCTTTTCTCCACCACTCTTTACCGCTACAGAGATGCAATAGTTTCTTTTAAAAGCAGTGTTTCTACTGAAAAGCAGAATAATAACGATCTGTTAAATTGCTCTGTGATTCCTTGGTTTGTCATGCGATCTTTAAAGTTGGACAGCGGTGCTTCCTAGTTTGGTACAAAGACTTCTTTTAGAAAAACAGTTACTGTATTTATTAGGGAAAACGCTTTGTCAGGATTGTGTACTGAGAATTCTCCTTTCTGTGGAATTTCTTGAAGTTAACTAGATTTCAATAAGTGCATTCTCTAACTGAAAGCATTTTTGCAGGCTCAAGGGAGAATCTATGGAAAACTTAAAGAAGAAAATTTCTTTGGACCTAAAGAAGAAGTGAAACTTGAGGCTCATATAAAAGTGCCATCCTATGCTGCTGGTAGAGTTATTGGTAAAGGAGGCAAAACAGTAAGTAGCTGAAATAAAACTTTTACTGTTTTTCAGTTATGTTTCTTGTTTCAGTGTGTATATATGTATAAGGCTTAAACATTTAGCTAACTAATAGCTAATCCTTTGAAGTTATGTTAAAGCAGGTGCTACTTTCTTAGGTGTACCTGTTAAGCTTTCCTTTCTTCTAGTGTGGAGTCAAGAGAAGCCAATCTCATAGAACGAATTATTTCATCTAAAAAAAAAAAGAAATAGTCTAACAAAAATCGATAGTCCCAGTCAGATCTGCAGGGCTTTTATTAATAGAAATGTCGTTCTTCCATTTAGAATGAATATGTTTCCACTCAAGACCTGCTTCTGTGAACCTTAGCTTATGCCAGATTTTGCAAAAAGATTTCACTAATCTCATTTAATTAAAATCCAGTGTGTCCAAAGGTGGCATATCTGGCCAAAACTGAGTGAAAGCATAATTTCTAAATAAGTGGTAGGAAATTAAGATACGTTCAGACCTCAATATTACAAAAAAAAAAAAACCAAAACAACCCCAAACATTTTTACTTCAACTTAATTGATGGCATTCCTTAGGCTGTTTGTTGCATAAAATTACATCACTGAGATTTTTCAATCCTGAAAAGGTGCTAGTATTTTCATATGGTTGTAAGTCAGGAGCTAGCTGATATTTGCACAGAAATGGTTCAGTCTTGGGTCTCCATCCTTGAGTGCAATGGGGTGTTGAAGTTAAGTGTCAGGAGGCAACGTGGCCTCTTTCATTACTTGCAGCAGTAACAGGTTTAAGGCCAAACATCTCTTCAGAGTTGTTAATCTAAAACATTTTTGATTAAATAATGCTATGCATTTCTAAAATAAAATAAGTAAATGGGACAAAGACTCTAACTTTACCTCTACTTAACACTATGGAAGCTGATAGGCTACTGAAAATAATTTGGACACTTCTCATTGTTCTGTTTGGAGTTTTCCATCTTGTGGAGGTTTTTTTAAGGAAAAACGTATAAATACTTTGACCTTTTTTTTTTCTTCCCTACATTATATATTGTGTGAGTTTTCTGACCTTAAACTTGTAAACTCAACTGTAAACACTGTGGCATCTATTTGCCTTTTCAAGTCATGTATTGAACATCATCTGTGTTGTATTTAGTCTTTAAAACGCCTCTCCAAACTAAGAGAACTTGGTGCTAATTTATGTTAGAAACACCAGAGGCTCATCTTGCGAAGTGCAGACTGCTGCACAAAGATGCTTTCTGTTAGTGGGCTTCTCTTTTTTTAAATGTAACTTAGAGGATGATGTTTCTGTGGTCAGCAGTATCTTTGAGGCTTGGTGGTTGTGGGATTTTTTTGTAAGATTTTTCTGACTTCTACTATCTATTTATAGGTAAATGAGCTTCAAAACTTGACAAGTGCAGAAGTTGTAGTCCCTCGTGACCAGACACCTGATGAAAATGATCAGGTGGTTGTGAAAATAACTGGTCACTTCTATGCATGCCAGGTAGGAGGACTGGAATGAATTTCTATATTGCCTTGATGTTTCCATGGTCTTTCTTTTATATCCATGTGCAGAGCCAAGGGATGGAAGACTTTTTTCTACTCAGGATACAGAAAGCACTGCTTGCCAGGCTCTTCTAATTGTCTTGCTGCAATAAACTTTCCTCATGCCTGTGAGAGATTTATAACAATATTGCACTTTTACATATGTAAAAACAATCTTCTTAAATTCTCCTACCAATATATGTAGGCTCTGGCACTGCTAAAACTTTCAAAGCAAAAGAAAACCCAAGTTGTGATCGGACTGAAATTCAAATGGCAGGGAGATACAAGCTATCTCATAATACCTGGCAAGAGCTGCACGAATATATGCAATTTGTCCACATCGCCCAATCTGTTGATTTAGTATCATAAAGAAAAGGATCACACGATTCCTTCCCTCACTTAACTCTTAGTTCGGACCAATTCCTTTTGATACCTTGGTATGGGTGACTTTTGTAGTTCAGAAAGGAGATGGGAGGGCTGGTAAATCCTGTAAGTCTGACCCTCTGGACTCCCTGTTGTATAAAAAAAAATTGTCCCCTCTCTATTAGAACAGTGGTTCTTATAAAATGTTAGTATCTCCAGAGGGAAAAAATACAAGTAGCCTGTATCTTCAATGATCTTAATGTTGGTAGTCATCTTCCCATGCTCATGCTTTCTGTATTACGGATGTGAAAACTGACCATGCGGGTAGTTGTATTAGGTGGAAAAAGAAGAAAAATTAAGTTGTACATCATGACTAACGCAAGTGTATTTAATGAATAATCTTGTCAGTACTAGGAACTTAGTTATTCCAGACTTTCTTAATCCCAGTAGCATCTATAGGCAGTTTTAAACAGGAGTCACTGTGGCATGGCATCGTGATGGGGTGTTTCTTCTTTGTCCTTCAGCTTGCTCAGAGAAAAATTCAGGAAATACTGGCTCAGGTAAGAAGGCAGCAGCAACAGCAAAAAACATTGCAAAGCGGACAGCCTCAGCCAAGACGAAAATAAAGGTTTAGGAAATGGCCCATCAGAGACAGATGCCAGACCAAAGACAGACTGTGCGACAGAGAGACGGGTGGTGAGCACCTGTTGAAGTTATATGCAGAAGATCCACCAAGCCAATCACCTGTTCGAGGACCAGGCAACCGTTGAACGCTGTCTCTGAGAATGTATTCTTTAGGCTCTCTCAAACTTTTGAAACCCAGCTTTAAAATAAGGACCCCTTCACTTCCCTTTTGTTCTATTCTCACAATTTAACATAAACTCGTTAGTCTTTTTTATTGTTCTTATTATTCCCCAACAATTTTAGAACTTGGTTTAATGAAGCTTTCTCTTCTGAGTTCACTGGTTTAAAAAAAAAAAAAAGAAAAGAAAAAAGAAAAAAACACAAAAAAAAAGAAAAGGCATTGCTCTTATAGGTCCAGCTGTAAAAGAAGAAACACATTTGGAGGGTGGGATTGCGGGTGGGCTAGGGTTAGAGCAAGGGTATCGACAAGAGTTTAAGTGTTAGTCCCAATGTTGAAACAAGTGGTTTTTTTTAAAAAGAATTTGGTTGCATTTTTACATAACACTGCCATGAATAACCTAAGGGAAGTGTTGAATGGTGTTGGCCAGGGCATAAAAAGATAAATATGCATTTTACTAAACTACCTCAGGCATTTAGTACCTCAATGAGAAATTGTTCCTTTTTTGCTTTTTTTTTTTTGGTATTTTGTATACTTTATAAAGCTAATAGTTCTTGAGCATTTTATTTTTTTAAAAAAAATTAAAATTTGATCAGCCACCAGCCAGGAGTACTACAGACTTATCGGGGAAAAAATATAGTAGAGCACTTCTAGCTGCTGGCTGATGGGAGTAAGGTGGGTAAAAAAAACACAGCCTCAGATTTTCTGAGGGCTTCAACACCATCATTTGTTTAAAAAAAAAAAAATTCAGTGAATGTTCAAAAGATAGTGAATGATGCCAACATTCTGATAGCAGCAATGCCGTTTAGTTTTCTTTTAAGATGGGATGAAAAAGTTTGTGACGGTACTTTTTTGGGAACAGGACAAGGAAGTGATGGCAAGAGGCTGGGGTTGGGGGAAAAATTTAGAAGGCTGCAAGAGGCTGAATTTTTTTTGTGCTACTTGATTGAATGCATGAACCCTTTGTGCCTTTGACCATCACTACCTAATAATGCTACATTTAACCATTTGCAGCCCATTTGGACTTTGCCATTTTGTTCAAAGAGCAAGCTTCATCTTCAGTTTGATAGAACACTCGATCTGCTAGAGCGTATTTGAGGCCACGAGGGTCTCTGCTGTCTGCAGATCACATCATACTGCTTTCAGTTACCACGATGGGGGAAGGTCAAACAGTGTTTGATCACATTGAAAGATAATGAAAGGCTAAGTTTACATATCCAGCCGCTGTTATGGGCCACACTAAGCCACTTTGAAGGTTTTAAAAACTATTACAAGAAAAAAAAAACACAAAACAAAACAACAACCTCTCTAGCCTGGCTTATAATAGATGCAGCAGGATTTATGCACGTTCTGCAACCAACCATTAGAGGAAAAAAAAAAAATGTCAAAAGGCAGGGATAACAGGAAAGTTACCAAATTTTTTAATTTCCGAATGTAATTTGAATGATGATTGTGGTAATAGTGACACATTCAAGTTTCTACAAACAACAACTCTCTAGCCTGGCTTATAATAGATGCAGCAGGATTTATGCACGTTCTGCAACCAACCATTAGAGGAAAAAAAAAAAATGTCAAAAGGCAGGGATAACAGGAAAGTTACCAAATTTTTTAATTTCCGAATGTAATTTGAATGATGATTGTGGTAATAGTGACACATTCAAGTTTCTACAATAAACTTCAGTCTACCTCAGTTTAAGAAAAAAAAAATATGTGGCAACACATGGTGCATAAAGACTGCTGTGTGTGTGTGTGTGCGCGTGCGCGCCTGTATGTGTGTGGTCGACAGAGCCATGCTATTACCTCTGAACCTTTTTTTTGTGATGTTTTTTGTGCATGAGATGATCAGAATCACCATGCTGCACTGATTTGAGGGGCACAACGAGCAAAAGCATTTGTTTCATCATTTTGTTATCTACCTCTTAGGTTCATGTTGAAATAGAGGCATTACTACATAGACTAGATAATTTTCCCAAAGATCATTGTTGTACAGATTAGATAATTTTGAAAATGGTCTGAAGTGTTTTTCCTGCATCTCTTCTTTACTAATTGGTTTAAAAACCACAAACTTATGTTGTAGTTTTAGCAAAGAAAAATGAGTTTCTTTTTCCTTTTTTGACAGTGACCTTCATCTAGCCTTTAGGATAACTTTTTTTTTCTTACAATGAATTTAAAATTACTGAAGTATGAAAAGTCATAGCTTTTTAATTTTTGTTGAGGCTTAAGTCAGTCTGACGTTCCTTTCTTAACATTTGAGAAGGATTTGACTTCATTATTTTCCATAAAAATTACTTTACAAATAGGTGCTGCATTTACATCTGCTGATTTAAATACTGTCATCTCTCTTAAATTTCTAGACTTAGTAGGGTAAATCATGTTTTTCTTTTCAATTGAGACTTGGTAATTTGGAGTATTTGGGAATAGCTAGAAAGTAAATACTGTAAATGATTTCAATATCCACAAAGTATGGATCATTTTTCACCTGTAATGTGCCCCCCAATGCAGCTCCACTTGCCAGATGCCTCTGAATGGAATAAAGAGTTTAACTCCTATCATCAGATAAAGTTGTGTGGTGTTTTTTTAAACTAATGAGGCATAGGAACAGACTGTTCCAAGCATTTGCGGTGCTTTGATCAAGTTGGTTTTCTGTCCGTAATAATAACTGGATAAGGATGAAGAGTCACCGACAGGTATTCCATAGCTGCTAGGCCACCCGGCAGCCAGGTTACAATGTTTGCACTACAAGCAGTGACTTCTGTGGCTTAGAATTCATCTCCCTTTTGCATAACAATGCTATACAGTCTGTAGTACAACCTATAGTTCATGGTTTCAGTCTTACGCAGATCATTTAGGCCGGTTTGCTGTGGAAGGGATGTGTAGTCAATAGTCCTGACCCAGAGCAAACACAAAGGAATCTTTAACAGGTTTGAAGCAAGATCTGAATTGCATTAAACTTTTTTTTTGGCTGCTTTTTACCTAGTCTTTACTTTGGTGCTGTCAGTGTGATGAAGCTGTGTAATGACCACGGCCCTAGAAGCTTGGATAGGCAGAACCAGTCACACCAGCAAGCAAACGTGATGGCAACCTGTATCTTGCTCCTACCACCACCACCCGAACACACACCAATTGCCAGTGAGGTGGTATCGCTGCTCCATTTAGATCCTTGTTAACATTTTTTGGAATAGAAATGAGACTAGATGTTTAACTGAATGCTTTAGAGTGAGAAGGAGGGGTTGGGGAATGAAGGAGCATCATGAATAATATAATTCTGTATCTTTTAAAGAGGAGTGGAAAACCAAACTTGCCTTCCAAACTCTTGCACCCTCCCACTTGTCTTCACAGCTCGTTTACTGGGACCAACCAGCAGAAAGAGGGAATTGGAGAAATGATGTCTGTTGATGACACTGCATAGGGTATTGCATTTCACAGGGAACTCTAAGCTCATTTTTCACGCCAATATTGAGCTATCTTCTCAGAACTGGCATCCCTGCCATTTGAGCAACGTAAGAAGTTAAGCCTTCCTCTGTATCGCTGGTGCATTTGTGACAGCTGAACCCCTGACTGTTAAGCATTTGCTTAATCATGATGCTTTTATTTGCTTCTAACCTTCCAAAGCTTTTATTCCTAAGCTGCAATTTCAAAGGCATGCGCTCTTTGTATTAGTTTCCATTAAATGAAGCATGTATGCTGTGCAGGACAGCGTGGTCTTGACATGGTACCAGGGCATAGGATTTTTAAATGAACGTGAAGAATTGTGGAGTAAGCACTCAGGCTGGGCTGTAACAGAGATATTAGCTCAACTGATGAACGCAAACACTGCTTGATAACCAAGTTACTCAAATGCAGTGCAGGAAATTGATGAAATGATGACAAAAGTATCACCTTGATAATTGTTTCTCCTGTTCATCCCATCCTCAAGGGGAGAGAATGGCTCAACGGAGCCAAACCTGCGTGTATCTCTGTACAGGATGAATCTATAGTCTCATTGGACAAGCTGCTCACTATTTTTATTTTACACAGAAATCACCTGATCGGTAGAACTGAAACCATTCCCAAATGTTTTCCTTCCAAAAGGTGTTTAATGTTGTACAGTACTGATCATTCAGACCATCTTTGTTAATTCCTAGGTCCCAGTTTTTAAGAGGGTCAGGCCAAAGGCTCAGCAAGTCTGGCAGGCAACCTGGCTGGGGCATTGCAGTAGCTTGGCACAGATCATGACTGCTCCTGTTAAACAGGGGATGAGGAAGTTCTTTTCCTGAGCTGGCAGCTCTGATTATTTAATAGCAATCAGTGGATGTTCCATATAACTCCTTTTCACAACGTGCTTTCGCAGAAAATTCAGTTATACTTTTTCATTTACTTTACTGGTTTTTGTCTCCTCCGTTCATTTGATGACTCTTTTTTTTTTTGTCTTGTCTTACAGACTTACCCCTTTCCAGCTGTAAAAGTCCTAGTCTGTTCACACAGAAGCTGTTTCCTCTCTCTTACTGTTCTTTTCTGGGCGCTCCTTTTGTTACTGTGCTCCTTGAGACAGGATACTGTATGCAGTTCTGGTTACTAAATGTGGGTTCATATAATGGCATAATGTTTGCTGAACCTGCCTCTATTCATCTAGTATTACTTATCTGCAGCAGCAGCAGTAAAAGGCAAATGGTTTCAGGGAACGATCCAAAGTTACTCCTACGTATCCCTCCTAGGAGGAAATGCCTGATTTAGAACCCATCACTCTGTAAGACAGCCAAGGTTATCTTTCTCCCATGTGGATTACTTATTGCCAAGTATCATGAAGCATTTTGAAAATTTCTTTGCAGTCAGATTTACCACTGATACCTTTATTTTGTGGGCAAAGATGTTTTATGCGCATAGTTTAACTACATTTAATACATGCTCCTTGCTTAATTTGCAGAACTATCTGCTGCCTCGTATCAAAAAAGCAGGTGAACTCAGGGGCAGTTATTCCTGAAAGAACACAGGCTAGACACAGCAAAAAAACACGACCAGTCTAAAATGAGGGAGGTGTTTGGTTTTGGTTTTGTTTTTTAAAAAAAGCAAGCCAAACACACCCCCCCTTCCCTGGAAACAACACAACCACATGAGCAAAAACCAAGGTCATGTTCTTTAAGTGTTACAAACAGCAGCTGCTGTGCAGGGAAGAGATACAGACAGAGCTTCAAGTAGCTTGTGGGGCTATGGGGGAGAAAGGTGATTGCCCTCAGGGTTCCTGCTTCCTGATGCATGGCAGAGCAAGCCTCTCCAGAAGGAAGAGATCCTAATCTAATGACGAAAGCCATGTCCCGTAGTGGAGAAAAGCATCTTGTTTTGCATTGACAAGTTTTGTTACCATCTTGAAGCTCTTCTAACTGGTTATTAGACCATGCGGCAGTGAGACCAAGAACACACTGCACAATGACTTCTGAAAGTGCTGGACAGTCCGTTAGCAGCAAGTAATGCTCAATGACTAAGGGTTTCTTTTAGAACTACGTTCACCCACTTCAAAAGGAGCTGAAGGTTTACACTGCCATAGCATGTTGCCTCAGTGTCCTTTTCCAGAAACTAGGTGAGAGGAAAACTAGGAGAGGGGCCAACTGCACACTTAGAATGAGCTGAATGTTTTAACATGGAGACAAGGAATTGAAGCTCTTCAAGTTTTGTTTTTTTTATTAAAAACAGATTGGCCTTGGCTGAAAAACTGACTTACTGTTCTGTTAACTCAAGACACATTTATTTGTCACTGCTGCTCTTGGCTTTTATGTGCTCGGCCATACCAGTCTGTTTTCTCCTCTCCTTCGATTCAGAGCATGACTTGCTTCATTGTGACCAGAAGCAAATGGCTTAATATAAGAAGCCTCCTCTAACCTGTACTATTTCACGTAGTTTTTTCCTGGCAGCACTCAAGTCTTTTTGCACTGCCACTACAGGTAGGTCTTTCAAAGAAATGAGAAAAGCAATTACTGTAGAGGCTGAGCATGAGTTTTAGGGTAAGTAGCTTAAGCAGCTGTCTTTGCCCCACTCCTCTAGCTGCAAACTCCATCGAGACAGTGACTCCCCCGGGAAGCTCCCTTATGATAGGATTCCTTCTTTGACATTTTATGTCTGGACTCGATCTTAAGGGTCTTTTCCAACCTCAATGATTCTGATCATTTTTGTAGCTTGTTCAGAACTTTACCTAGGTACATCCAATAAATACACTGTTTTGAACTGATCAACTGTAGTGACTGTTAAGTCATTAATCAAGGCTGTATGTCTCTCAGATCTGTGAAGGCACTCTCATTTCTCTTTCCACTCAGAGCTGTCTCAAGATGATCACTGCTGTTAGGAGTCAGTCCAAATATAAAGTCTTCTGGCAGTGACTGTGGAGTCATCTGTGCTAACTGGTCATCATAGGAACCAAGAGTCCATAGCTTCTCCAATTCATAAGCCTCTCGTGTCTCCGGCAACATGAAATGCATCACAATGCTACCTGCACAGAAGAGAAATTCACAATAAATTAATGTGAACTGTAAAGCACTACTACGCTTCCAGCTGCTCAAAGAGTTCAAGTCTTCCACCCCCATTCTGGCTAGATATAACAGGTCAGCTGATGGAGGTCTCTTAAGTTGCTGATTCCAGTTCTTGAACAGTTAGGAATTGGTCACTCCTTCAAAAGACTCCAAGACTACAGCCAGGAGAATGAGAGGGACAATACTCTGATTTGAATTAAAACACTATCGCAAGACTCCAGACCAAAGAAGTGATGACTTCCAGGGGACAGAAGGAAGTAAGCTGAAAGAAGTTTTACTTGAAAGAGTACAGATGGACTTTCAGCTTTCCTATATTACCAACAACATTCAGCTATAGCCAAGTAATTTTCCTTAGGTGTGTTGCTCACTTCTTGGGTGGTTTTTATAATTAATTAATTCCATTAATTCTGTGCAAAAATAGTAGAGAATGTTAATTCCAGTGTATTTCTAATGCACTTTTTTCTAGTTATGCCCTTAAATTTCAATCGGTTTTCAGTTATAACTAACTATCAAAACCATTGACAGTAAAGTAACCAAGGCTTAACATCCCTGGCTGCAGTGCTCCTCGCTCACCCATGCTCTCTTTTACCCTCTAACTTTGTGTTTTGGCTTGAGATTCTAGAGCTAGCAGTGAAGGAGAAATGCTTTCTGAATGCAGTCTTTTATGTTTGTGTAGAGAGTTTCACACTTGTAGAATAAAGAATTAAACTCGATTTCTTAGGACTTAGGTTTTACCCCATGTCACGGTATGATCTGGACAGTGGAAAAGTCTGTCCAAGAGTTCGCTACTAGGGCAGCATACAAAGAGCCCCCACTCCCACAGGCAGGGATTATAAAAACCTGAGAAAATTGACTGAAGTAGCTTTTCTCTTTCCATTAGTGTTATCTTCAATTTATTAAGACCTGTTTTAGCCACTGAAGAGTAGCTACTGCTTTCTTCTCAGTGCCAATGATCTTTAGTGAGAATTTATTTAGTATCTCAATGAGCTCAAGCAACAACAACTGGAATTCCAAACAGCAGAGTATTGTGACCTCTCCACAGCAACCAGGGTTTACGGTGAGATGCTTCCTTCAACAGAGAGCTCATGCAGAAATTCATATTTGTCAGATTCACAAATATTTACCAAAATCAATGCACAGCCAGTCATCCGTCTCTTTCCCTTCAATCCGAGTATGAGGATCACTTTCTTCTTTGTGATGCTTGTACTGAGAGAGAAGCAATGGCAGAAAATGAAATATTTTGCATTTATTTAAAAGCATTCAAACTTTACAGATAAGCTGGACCTTGCTGGGTTGTCTAGTGTTGTTTTAAATCTGAAATGGGTTAGATTACTCAATGTTGGTTCTGGGGTCTGCACAAAAAAGAACAATATACACTTGTAGCAGTGGAAAATAAGTACAGATTTCTCAATGGGATTTAGTATCTAATCTGGAATTCCAATGCTCAGAATTCCCATACAGTTATTCACAAATTTTATAGGTGTCCACTGTTTCTCAAGAGGAATACTAATGCTACGCAATTGTATTCAGTCTTTCAGTTATAGGTTCCCTGTAACTGCCAATACCACTAAGTTCTATTTCCTTTCAGATACCTTTCATTGTTGTTTTACATTGGCTAGTTAAGGATGCAGAAATGGAAGTGCCAAGCTTATCCTCTTCTCAGATGGGAGGGTGGGGAGAAAACAGGTTTCAGCCCATGCCATGAGGAAGGCATTTAAACAAGCCTCCTGAGAGCACGCTCTCAAGACTCGGTGCAAGATGGGGGGAAAACACGACTGGCACACAGGTTTCCAAGCTACGAAGCCCTGTGAGAGAGGGGAGAGGGTAGCTCGAAGCTGGACTGCAAAAGCTCAGCTAGGGCAAGGTAGTTCGTTCCCTACACAACACGGTAGCTTTCATAGATGCCAGCTTGAGAGGCCCAGCTCTCCCCACCTGATACATAAAGCACCTAAGCACCCACCAGAGCTGAAGAGATTTGACAACTAGAGGCTTAAGTACTGTCTCTTTCAGATCTGGCCATAATCTACTCGTTTCTTTACAAAAAGCATCAATAGAAAAAAAATGGGATGAAGTCAGCTGTGTCTTCACAGAGCTCCTTTATTCAAATTTCTACCTTATTTCTAGTTGAAGCAGCCAATCAAAAAAATATGGAAACCTTTTTCAACCCGAAATTAAAAAAAAAAAAAACCAAAAACCCCAAACAACATTTATTTCAGCACAAGGTCACAAGGAAACAGTGAAACTGCATGGCTCTAACAGTTGTTTCTGCCATGAAAGACAAAATACAAAATAACAGGTTGTAACATCATGGCTGACTAGGAAATGAGTCCTGCTTCACTGGGAAAGCAATTATCGCAAAATGCAACTGTTCCTGGCCGTTCCCACACAACGCTAGCTGCCGGACAATGGCCCCCGTTTGCAAACCAGAATGGAGAACTTTCAAAATGTAATTCAGAAACTAGTTCTACCTTCCTTTCTTTAAGATAGCTTGTGAGATATCCTCAAAAGCAGGTAACTACCAAAGACTCTCTGAAAGTCTGTTTAAAATACTAAAGAGCCCAGCATGCGCTGCCATCAGCTATGTAAAAGGTTGGAAAGGCTGATCTCCACTACACGTCTCCTTCAGCCTTGTCTTTAAAGGCTGTGTAATAGTGAATAGATTATAATAAAGCCAAGTGTAAGTTTCTTCCTCTAACATGAAACCAGACGGGAAGGGGGAAGCAGTAGTTGAGACTGTCATTTACAAACTACTGGAAAAAAAGCAGGAAGACCTCATGCTACACATAAGCACCTCTGCATTTTAGTGTGAGTAAATCACACGTTACCATAACGTTTTAGATACTGTAATGGTAAAGCTAGCCAGCTGCCTAGCAGCACTCCCTAGCACCTGTTCTGCTTTACAGCTTAAGCTTCAGCTTACTTTTTGCCTAGAAAACTTTCAATGCCAGGCAAGCTCAGCCACTCCTGAGTGAGTGCCAGGCTTCTCGGTTTCTCAGGATGCCCAGGTGGATGCCTTGTCTCCCCAGAGGCTATGCCCTTACAAAAGAGCTGCCCTTACTGCCACCAGAGGGAGCAGCCAGTTGTAGCACAGGCATGTTTTTGCAGGGTGGGTGGTATTCAGTGATCTCTCCTGGTCTGGGGGAGATGGAGAGCTGTTGATTTAAGACCAGCAAGTTATGTAAGTAATAGAGTACACATTAAGCGCTTAAATTTAGTATATTCAAATCACACTAGTACAACTTATAGCTGGAGGCAAAATTTTAGTTTGCAAAGATGCATCAGCTCCTGCAGAGAACGCAAGAAACTCCCCTCACCCGCTCAGAAAGGCACTGAAAAGCAGCACCATCTCCCCCTCTCTCCTTTCCCCCCCCTCAAGTCTCACAGCTGAAACCAACGGGACTGGAAGGAAGAAAGTAAAACCAAGAGCCAAAGGAAAAATGGGGTCAGGAAAGGAAAGGAAAGTGCATGAAGAGAAAGCAAGCTACAGGTTAAGAGTACAGACAGCTGATCAAGGTGGGGGCTAGTCATATGCCTCACCCTGTGCTTTCTAACAGTCAGCTGGCTCTTCTCTGGCCGTGAAGTTTCTCCCTTCCCGAGTCTGGTCCTTATTCCTAAGCTCTACCTGTATTTTTATTCTGACCCTATTTTTGTACTGAAAAGCTCACACTCCGCCAAAGCCAGACAGTGCAAGATTTCTCTGCAAGGATAGCTGCTGCTGCTGCTTCTTCTCCTTTCCTCCTGTACATGCACAGTATGGTGACTATTAACTAGCAGTTTGCTTTAGTAGGTCCATGAGGGGATCTTGTACCTCATAACATCCCATCTTTTTTCCAGCCTTACGATATACCTGAGAACCTGGAAATTTTAGGGATTAGGGTTTGAAAACTGTCAGGTTAAGTTGTTCTGAATGAGTGGGAATAGCTATGAAGCTTGCTGGACAGAAGACAAAAGTGGACACAGGTCATCATCACCATTTCACATCACTCTTGTTCTAGCCACCAAACTGTGCTAATGTCATCACTGTTCTAAATACAGAGAGATCTGTTTTTAAAATATAATTCTCTACATTTTGATTAGTACCACTAAAGGAAAAAAATACAGTTGGTTGCTAGATGTATTCAGGACTAAATGACATAAGGATAATTAGTTTCGTCTTGCCTGGTACACCCCTATATGTGCAATCCTGGGGGAATTCCTTTCACAACATTTAAAACCATTCCCCAAAACCCAGAGAGTGCAGTGGGAACTGTCTTACCATTTTCAGCATGTAATGTGCCATTGCATGGAGATGTCGTGTTGAAGATCCACTCACAATTATAAAATAATTACAGTATTTTATTTCTGGAGGTAGCTGGATGACACAGATGTCTTTAGCGTTTTCTTGCCTCAGCAGAGGTACAACAAAGTCAATGTTGAACTTTGGAAGAACAGTATCTGGAACAGACAGAAAAAACAATACAGTGGCAATTTATCTTTTTAATTGCAAAAATCAACCACTTAAGAAGACATAAAATGGCAATGAAATTAATTATAGCCTAAGCTAGCCGCTCACTGGAGTTTGGTTTGATACTGACAATGCAACATGAACTGCAGATTTTTAAAAATCATTTTTAAAACCATCAAAGTTGAGAACTAAGTACTCTTCTGCTAAATAACACTCTATCACTAGATATAGCAGTTAGCAAACATCAAAGTTTCTTTTAGGTATCTTTTACTTATTTCTTGTTGTTAGTACTTAAGAGTCAATGCTATCATCAAATATTTGTCAATTAAGATGAATGAAACCCAAGTACTTCAACAGACATTATTAAAACCAACAGATAAAATTAAAAATTTCAGAACAATGTTTTTCAACAGGCCTGTGATAATATGTGGTGATGAAATTACTCTAAAATCTTAAGTAGATGAAATCAATATATTGAAAACGGAGCTGATGTGATGCAGTGTGAAGGTACTTTTTATCTTCACACCGAGTAAAGCCATTTTTTCTTTTCCCCTAGCCTGTTCTGCCACAGAGGATTATGATATTGTAGACAAAGTTTTAGTCCTTCAATAGTTTAAGCAAGCCAGCTTAGAAACTATTAAATTAGTGCAACTACCTTCTGTTCACACCATGAAATCAGTTTATTTCTAATTTGCCCTAATTAGGTAGATGCAACTTGTGTGCATACTTAAGGCATAATTTGAATCTGTCAGCAATGCATGCCTGCCACTATAAAGTGAACGTCAGTGCAGACTGAGCATCAGCACAAAGCCAACTTTTATATTTACCAATATAAAGAAAAAGCCAAACAAAAGAACAATAGCTACAGATAATTATATGCATGAATGGGGATATGAAATTGGATCAGATCTCTGTAAATGAAAGCCTTTCAGCTTAGGGACTCATGCACTCTTTCAACTTTTGCTGTGGTCACACATGCAGAAAATTAGCAGCGGCCACAGCTCCTCCAGACGCAGCAGTTACAAAAGTTAAATATTTGCCTGGTAGCCACATGTGAAGTCTCTAGTGCCTACTTAGAGAACGAATGGTCTGAACAACCCCAACCACACTGAACGTCACGGTCAGAACTAGGCTAGAGAAGATTTGCAGAACAGCTACAACAACAAACCAGCTCAGCGCACACAACGCTTATACCTGTAACCAGTCATCGTGCTACTAAAACTGTTATCTATACAGGGAAATTCTTTGCGAGCGTACATCAGAGAAACACACCTCCAACTCGGCACCACTGTCCTCACAAAAGTTCCTGTATGTATCTACACACAGGCTCGGTTTGCGCTAGCCGCCAACTCCTCACTTTACAGCAGGACTTCAGAGGCGATCATGCTTCAGCACAAATGCCATGACCCTGAGGCCTGCGGTCTCAGCCGAGGTAAGGGCGATTCCGTCGCACTAGGCACCCCAGGATCCTCCCGCAGCTGCAGAATGAGATCCCATGCGTCCGAAGCGGTTACTTTCTTCCCGAGGCGTTACACTTCGCTTAGGGCACCATTTCAGAGAGCTGGAGAGCGCGGGGCAGAGCCGAGGTGCTTAGGGCACCATTTCACAGAGCTGGAGAGCGCGGGGCAGAGCCGAGGGCCTTCTGGTCAGCGGCCTCCTTGACGTGCCGCCTCACGACCACGCTTGGGCCTGCCAGGCCGGTGCCTTACCTCGCACGGAGGCCGCGATGCCGTATTAGCCAGCGTTTCACGCCCGCGGAGTTACCAACTTTGAGGGTGCTTGAGCAGTGCCTTACTAGCAGGGGAGGGCCTGCTCGACACACACGCTCCTTCACCCGCTGCGAGGCCGCGGGAGCCCTCCGAGAACACCTCGAGAACGATTAAGCTTAACAATCATGAGAGAACCAGACCGAAGTACCAAGCGGGAAGTCAAAAGGACCACGACCGGTGCCGCGCACCGAGAGGACCC